AGAGACGATAAAACTCAAAAAAGGCAGCCAGCTATCTCATAATGGACACTTCTCTAAATTGGGAATGTTGAGTTGATGACTGAAATTCTTCAGGCATTTCCGAACAAGGTGAACAACTCTCTGTCAGTGTTGTCCATCTCAGGGAAAGTTGACCAATTATCTTTATCAAAAGTTGCAGTTCTCAACCAGAATAATATTAATGCCTACAAGTCATGAAAAAAGTTGGAATAGTTTCTAAATTCCAACTGCCTTCAGCTGATGTATGGATAACCTGTTCAGTCTAAAATACTATACTGGTAGTAACAAAAATGTAGTTATTAGTGTGACCAGTAAGGAGAATTTCATATTATTTTCTGTTCTCTTACATCTTGACTTAAAAGCCAAGTTTTGTGAGGTCGTTGTTTATTTTTTTTTTCAGTCTATTTTTATTTATACTTTTTTCATAATGGTGTAAGTTGTACAATTCCACTTTGCTGGAAATATTTACTAAAGATTGAAGGCAAGAATATTAAAAGTGAATCTCAGGAGGTACTGAAGTACTTTGTGTAAAGGGTGGGGTAGCGTTGACAAATTTTTAAAAGCTAGCAGTAATAAGGGAAGTGCGTTTGAATGTTTACCTTTGGAATAAATTATTGAAGTTGCAGACTATGTTACCAAAGTGGAACACTTTGTACGATTGAGTTAACTATTAGTCTATTAGTCTCCGATGCAATCATTTTCTTGTATCATCACCCAAGTCTCCTCTTCAAAGAACGGTTGCGAAGGAGACTGGTGAACTATGGAGACGAGTTTAATCAGAGAGACGACCCAAAAGAACGTCTGCATGGGAAGTTACTGGGAACTAGAATTATGAGGAATTATAAGGTGAAACCTACAGTATTAAATGTTAAATAACTTGTACAACTTGCAATGTTATCTTCATGATTCAATGTTAGCTTAGTAAGTCATTTACAAAACATAGGGGAAACTAAACATCGCATCATCTTGGGTGAATTAAAGAGTAGGTCTCGTGAAATTTGTAGGGGTTGTTGTCTGGTTCAAAGAAAGGCTTTATCTTCTTCATTTTCTTAGTCACGTGATTTTCACACTCATTTTTGCTATTTATTTTGATCCAAATTTAACTCGTTGTTAGTCATGACTCAATATATAGATTTAGCCAGGGCTAAAATCGAAGCTCTCGTTAACTAGTTACTTAATTATAAACAAAAAATAAAATAAAATCGTGCAATGCTGAACGGCGACAGTAACGAGGACGGCAACAAAATCAGTAGATCTACTAGCAATAAAACAAATTTGCACGTGCAGCCCCCCTTTTTTGTACAGTTCTTTGCCATTGTTTTGCACGACCGCAATGCCGTTTTGCACGACTAGAGGAGGAATTGCCGTATGTGCTCACCAAAAATTTTGTTGCTTGTGTTCGTGGTCGCTTGTATTTTTTTTCACTACCGCTCATTTTCACCCTGCTTGCCTCTCCTTGCTGACCGCGAGCATTTCTGATTTTCTTACCTCCGCTATGAAATTTTCATGTTTTTTTTTTCAACAAAATTCGTCTCCTTTTTTTTAATCACACGCTCTAGCTCTTTCTCTGTTATACACGTGAGTGTAAACATAGAAAAATTACGTTGAAAAAGACTCGACTTTGTTGTTGTTTTTTCTCTCTAAGAGTCCAGGGAACCATGCCATTTCCCGCCAAAAACACCTCGAGTTGCCTGTGGTGTTATACCTAACCTGAGATCAGGCCCAATTCTAGCGGTTCTCATACATTCTCTCTAATTTTCAAAGCGAAACGAAAATAGAGCCTGATCTTAGGTTATGTTATACCTGTTAATTGAGTTATTCTACATTGGTTTTCCTGTGGTCTGGACTGACGGTCTTTCGGGCGTACGATCACGTGATTACTAAAATTTCTCGGATGGGTGGATTACGACAATTTTTTAGGTAAGGGCGCGCGCGTGGAGCTCCGTTTTTAAGTAAGGACCCGTCCACGTATCCGATTCTGATTGAAAACAGATATTTTTTTGGTCATTTTGGCCCACCCACATGGTTTTGATGACACCAGGACTCCTTGTGTTATCCTATAACGGTGAGGTAGCACTGCAATCGTGTTTCCCTCCATTGTTGTTACTTCATTAGTGTCGAGCTCTGTAATGGTCGCTCCTTCAGACGATAGCCCGGGCCGCTGGAAGTACTTTAGTAGTTCAAAGTACCCCAGTAATAATCTACAAGGTGTTGATACATACATTCGTCCAAGCTGTAGCCCAAATCGAGTTCCTCTTTTGCTCGGTCAAGTTCTCTTTGTGTCTGCTGAAGCTCCTGGGCTCTCTGATCAAGCTCCTTTAACGTAATAGTGAAGTGCGGTGAGCCTTCAGCTTGAGATTTTTTCCTTTCACATCGTTTAATTCCCAAACGGTGTTCTTATGCCTCCACATGATGTCTCTATGCGATTCCTTTAGCCGCTGTAACTTTTTTTTTCAATTTATTATCTCTTAACTTTCTCGATGTTTCGAGATCCTTGAGGATCTTTTGAGATTTTTCCAACTCCTCTCTCTGGATCTGATTATCCTCTTCCAGCCACTGTCGCTCTGATTGCAGGTTATTAATCACTGCAGCTTGTTGGGCTATGGCAGCATTTTGTTGTTTTACAATTGCTCCTAGCTGCTCGTAGCTGTACACATACATCTGTTCCATCCTTAGTCGACAAAATCTTTTAAATGAACCAAAAGAATCCTTTTTAGGCATAGCCTGTGAACAGGCCTTTAATCGAGAGGGAGCTTGCTATTTTTTCCCCAAACAGAGAGCCTGTTCACAGGCTATTTTAGGCAAAAATCACTGACTCTTTAAAATCTCTTCTTTCGTTTTACTTTTTCCAAAAGTGAGTTTTTTAGTGATGTCATAGAAAATTAACCAGTTTCTTTTGCGCGCGCAAAGGCTCTTCTAGAAGCAGCTGCATTCTCGTCCCCAGAGCCACTCGGCTCAATTTGTAACGAAGACCACGTGACCAAGAAAGACGAGCTCTGAGGACGAGAATGAGAGCGGGTTTGGTAAGCTTTTTGTAGGATCGAGTTTCTGGATCAGTATTGTTTAGTCACTTTTTAACTTGTTTCGTGTACAATAATTGTTAATCGCACAAGCCTGAGAGCAAGCTTTTCACAGCGAGCGAGTCCGTGATACGCAAGAGATCTAGGACTCTCGAGTGAGTTGCGCTCGCGCGTTACAACTTGCAATATGCTTCACAGTCTACACCAGCAGGAACCAATCAGACTCGTACCTATATGTTTAGTCGCTATTAAATATGTGTTTTGGGGGTGAGAGAAGATTGGGGGTTAGGTTGAGGCGCGTGAGGTCTCATGGGAAGGTACGAAGGAAAAATGCCTCAACCTAATCCCCAATCTTCTCCACACCTCAAAAACACATAAATAGCGACAGGGAATGAGTTTGGGAACCAATTACAATCGGCCCCTGACACCAATTAACTTTCAGCAATTTACCAGAGCGGTAAAAAGGGCCAAAATTCAGAAACGCTGCTTAAAAAAACCGGTAAAATGCATTTCTCATTATTGATGATTTCTGTACACTTTGGATCCTATCAGACTCTATAAGGTGTACCGAGGAAACAAACAAGTTCTTTTTCTTAGAATCGCGCGCTAGAGGCATAATAGCAAAGCCCCATAGCTAAGAAAATTGGTAGCCCACCTCACCGTCCGTCCGTCCGTCCACCTTTCCGTCCGTACAAGAGGGCAACCAATGTAAAATCTCACACTTTCTAGCTAGTGGGGGAACCTGCAACTTTTAAATTGCTATTGCACACCCGTCACTATTAACAGCTATTCCAGGGTAAGTTTATGTTTGTGTAACAGATGTAATTTTATGGTTAATGTACTATATTTATATTTTGCTTGATCTGTAGCAGTATGCTAAATAATATTTAGCAATATACGCTACAGATGAAGCAAACGGTAAATATTATGTAACAGGAACAGTATAGACAGTAAACAATGAACTCAAAACCCTTCAAAATCGCTCAAAATACCCTTTCTCAGGCAAAAGGACGACAATTAACCGTAGGTAAGGTAATGTAACGTTTATTTAGCACTTAAACGGATCCTTGCATTTCACTGCACATCACCTACTGCGCATAGCATTACGGCATCAAAGGTGGTGGGGATTTTTTACGGGTCGCCTAATCAAAGAAAGGTAAAGAAAAAAAAAACGTGAAAACGATTCGAATACGCCATGTGCGGAAGCGTATTTCTTCGAAAAAGGAGGGAAAAAATTTCCGTTGTAAAAAATACCCTGATACGTGTGAACGTACGGGGCCGAATTGTATAGTTGTGAACTGTATCGTCCTCATTTTGGATAGAGACTGCATGGGGCGAGAAGAAAACATCGAATAAAATATTTTAAAATTCCACGATTAATTTGACATGTCTAGGTAACTTATCGATAGATAAATTTCCATACACCAGCCGTGCTTTCGGAAGCAGTCCATCAAAGAAAAAAAATGGCTTTTGTCACTACAATGATAAAGACTTAACAATATTTAGAGAGATATCCTAAATAAAATACACGGTCTACTAAAAAACTATAACCAACTAAGTAAAAAAATACTGTCCCCTAAAACCAATGGGGGGGGGTTTTACTCCCGGGGGAAATTCTAGGTGGGGATGTGCCGCTGGGACCCTGGTCGTGATTTTGACCTATACTAGAGTTAGTTCAGCGTTTGAATTTTGCTCCAGTTACCCTATACTATTTAAATTATTCCCAAAATTACCCCTATCCTAGGTTCAAGCTGTTTTGCACCCAGTCTAGATAAAATCTTCAACCAACTGATCAGTTTCCTGAAAAATGATCCCCTATTCTAGAACCCAAACGGGAATTTTGATTTATATACCCTATCCCAAAAAGTAAACTGCATTGAAAACCATACCCTTCACAGCGGAACATATCTGTTCGGAAGACGATATAGCCCATTTATGGAACATTTGTTGTAAAACCCCCGGACATCTAAAATTACCCATTTTAAACGGATATTTACCTAAAAAAATCATCCCTAGAATTTTCGGGGGCCTGGAAAAGGTAAGTTTTTAATCATACCTTCAGGGGAACAGATGGTTTTTGGCGCAGTGGTGAGAGCACTGTACTCGCCTCCCATCGGGTTCAACTCCCGGCGTCCACGCCATATGTGGGTTGAGTTTGTTGTTGGTTCTCTCCCTTGCTCCGAGAGGCTTTTCCCTGGGTACTCCTGTTTTCCCCTCTCCTTACAAACCAACACTTTCAAATTCCAATTTGATCTGGAACGCAGGGACACGTCCTTCATATGAACTCCTGTGCTTCGTGAGTAAACAAGCAATCTTTTATGCGATAACGAAATGGGTATATGAGCCTGCAAGGACTTCTGCTGACCAGTTCACAACTGCTAAAACAGCATGGCGGCCAATGCGAGACTTCTCACACGAAATTTTCGTGTTATCTTTGACCGTTCTCGGCAGCATTTATCGCAAAAGTTCAATATACGTCTTCTCTCTGATAAAATCATAGATGTGATGAGTAGTGAACCACCTATACCTGAATACAAGACGCCTCAAAATGAACCACCTAAGCTCAAACGAGCAAGGCTCCTTTATCAGAGTAGGTAAGACGGGTACGCTTTACTATTGTGATTTGTTGTCATATGTGGGAGTCATCAGACGTCACTGAAACTGTTGAACTTTATTTCTGGAACCCTAGGAAGCGAGGAATGCTGGAAAATGGGTTGCTGTTGAGGTAGGTATAAAATGATTTAATTCTGATTTGATTACATAACATCAAGTCTTATATACAAAACCAGTACAGTACAGTAAACCCGCTTTAGTAATACGGACACCTCATTATTTTATATTTTGGGGAAAGAAAGCCCGTACATTTTTTCTAAATTTAACCCGCTTGATATGGACACCGCGGTAATACAGACACTTCCTATGTCCCCCTCAGTGTCCGTAATAAAGTTTGACTGTACCACATTCACGAATGTCAGCTGGTATAAATGGCTCTCTTTAGCTCTGTAGTGCATGTTGAAACACTCCAAGATTTACTTGGAGAAGCATTAGTTCTGTGGGATTCTGTTCAGTGACCCTCCTTGTTAAATTAGCAATTAGAGACTTTTAAACAATAGATGAAAACGTTTGCTGCATTTGCACAGCCTGATACCAGCTCAAGAGGGTGTTGGGAGTAGTCGAGAATTCCTCCAACCCTTTGAGTGTGTATATCAGGCTATGCAGACAGCAGAAAATTTTCTAATGGTTTTAGTAACATAACTTTCCAGAGAAAAAACATGCCAGCAGTGCATTCAAATGGGTAATTTATAAATGAGGTAAAATAAATACAGCCAATTGTCAACATTATCACTATAACTGTCTGTGACGAGTGCCAAAGTGTGGAGGTGTGTGTATTCTGATTAGCATTGTGTACGTACATTCCGGCACACAAGGTTCAATGTGAATATTTTGAGAAATAACCAGGCAACTATATAAGTTACTTGGCAATTATTAGTGTCTCTATTTCCCTCTTGTAATTGCGTGTTGCATTCTCTCACAAGTGTCTCACCAATCAAATCACTTTAATTTACAGTACATTTGCTGATAAGCACTTGGACAATTTAAGTGATACCTTGTTGGATCAATATGACCAGGTGATTAATATGCCAAGCAATGACTGGGAGATATATTACTGGATGACAGAAAAGAAACCTACTCCTAAAGAGTATGACAACCAGATAATGGACATGCTCAAGAAACATGCGAAAAATGAAGACATGGAAGAACGTATAAGACAACCTGACCTACGGCATACGTGAGAAGAGACGCCTCACTCTTGTTTATGGACAGGCTTGTGGTCAGACTATTTCAGCCAACAGTCTCTGAGGATTTTGTTATATATTAAGCTGGAGATCCCGTGCGAAAGAACTATACATCTGTATGTGCTTTTAGATCTCCCCCCAAAAAATATGTTTTAGGACATCTTTCTCAGCTGAATTTACTCTGACAAAGGGCTACTGCACAACACATCAGCTTTTTGCCGATATGATGAAAAATTTTAATCAATTGTTTGCCCTTCAGGTAAACTATTGCTCAAGTTGACTAGCCTGGGGCAGTTGGTCATTTGATAAACCAAATTTTTGTGAATAGACTTAAAGTCCAGTTTTATAAAACCTTGCACTTCTTGAAAAACCGGGGAAGAAGTTGATGTTAGATCAGGGGTAGATTATTCTGCAATTTTCTTCAATTGCACCATAGTGAATGTATGAAATAAGAAACAAAAAATGCAAGTTTCACACATTTTTTACTCTGTTTTCTTTTGAAAGTGACAGTTTCTTACTTATTATAACAATGATTTTACTGGCGTTTTCAGACATACAAAGAAACCTTGGTGACATCTTGTATGCAGTTCAATGGATTCTTTACATTAATTTGTACAGTAGACTTACGTAACTTTTTGCATCTGAGGCACTAGATTTAAGATGAACTGTCTGCATCTTTGTAACCACTGTTTTAAACTTGCAGATGATAACAATAAAGAATTCAGTTATGCAGAACTTGAATTCATGTGTCAGTACTTGATTACACTGTTCAGTTTTACAACATCACCAGGGCTGCAAATAACGGCCGGTCAACGGACAATGTCTGGTCAAAAATAGGTTTTGTCCGGTCAAATCCTTAGATGGCCGGACAATTTGTCCGGTCGTCTAGGCTGGTAAGGAAAAAATTTAGAGTTTCAAGTTTTAAATATTTAAAGGTTCAATATTATTGGCGTTTGTGAAAAAGGAGGGGAAAAGATGGATACTTAACTACCAGACCAAAATTTCCGGCTGTCGTGGCTTTGTCATTCACCAAGTCGTCACCGCAAATTAGCGGGTCTTACAAATGTGTACCAGTCACGGGTGTGAATTACTTGTTTCATATTTAAACATCATGTGAAGGGGTGAGGGGGTACTTTTATAGCGATAAGACGTAATCGATGTTTGTCCGGCCAAAAATGGGATATGTCCGAGCAAAAATAGGTTTGACCGGACAATTTGACCGGCGCCAGCCGGGAAATTATTTGCAGCCCTGATCACACGCTTTAAAAAATGCATGCAAATGTTGGTTCAATATACATGTAATTTATTACAAGAAAGCATTTTTTATCACCAAGTAAAGTCCCCAAATCTCTGGATTAGCTTGTCTTGATCTGAAAGGTCTTTCTGAACCTTCTTTCTCATGTAAAAGATGGGGCAATCACGACTAAAATAAGGAAGAATGAGAACAAAATGTTGTCAGTAACATTCATAATAATACCCAACATGGGAAATGTAACTTATCTTAACATTGCTAAGAGAAAAAAATCATTGGAAAACAATTCCAAGAAAGTTTGTGTTGACAAAATTGGACTCTATTATATAGTGGAACCCCATTAATATGGACAGTGTCAAGGGGACATGCCATGCCACATGCCATGTAATGCAGGCTCCCAGAAAAAAAAACTCAGCACAGACACATGTTTTATCAACATAAAGACCAAAGTAGACTTTTTACAAGAAAACCGTGCAAAATTTCTTATCAATAGCTGTAAGACTTCATCCGGTAGAAACCTTACGATCATTTATCATAGTCACAGATTATAATATCTGTTGTTTTAAGTATTGTTCTTGAAACATGGCAAAGAAATCTGTGATATTAATGCACTGGTGCTTTTATTTTATGACTAAGCCAGGTGAAGTGAATATCAGAAAGAACCTTTGAAAGTTCTTTTGCCCTTTCTGTTAGGTTTTCATCGGTAAGATATTCAGTCATAGTCAGTGCACATGATAAAAAGTATCGATAAAGTGCAGTTGATGATACATGGGAGTTGACGACTCAGGAAACAGTAAAATAAAGCTTTTCGTTAGGACAAATGAAACTGTCAGTGACTGTATTACTCAGGCATGCTGGGTTCCACTGTACTGTCTAAGTCATAAATACAATTTACTTTAGGGTTAGAATTGACAAGACAGCCTGAGGTACTGTAGCCTTCTCCTATCTGCCTGTTTTAAACTTTTTTCCCAATTACTATTTCCTTCCCAGATCAAGAGAGGGTTCTATATCATGACCACCTCACTGCACCCCTTACTAGGGAGCTTGAGATGTCACAACAGCAACGGCAATGAGAACGTCAAATAAGCAATAGGATTAGTTTAGAAAACAACAACTTCCCATGTGCAGCACACTTTTAATATTGGTACATTTCTTTGGCATCAGTGCATGTCTACAACCTGAAATTGCCTTATTTCAGATTATCCAGAACGTAAGCAAATGGCAAAAAATTTCTTTAAAAATTTAGTCTGTTTGGACTGAGATATTTTTCTTAGGAATTCAACTCCAGGAGAGTTTGCCTTCATTGAAAAAGTGAGCGAGTTGGGATAATCATGCTGAAGTTTTTAAAAGAACACAAAGTCACTTTTTCAGGTGGGATTTTTGCTGCCGTTGTCATCATGCTATCTTAAACTCCCTACTTTCAGTGATTGGGAGGGGGATTAAAAGTTCACAGTCAGCATGACTCACCTTGTACACAAAACATCAGCATGTAGGCTTCCCTGGCAATTCTGACATTGAGTCCACAGTCTGGCAAACTTTTCCTCCAATGCATTCAAATGTGCAATTTCCTTTTGAAAAAGAGCTGACTCCTTGGGTTTGCAGTGTTTACACACAGCAGCAGCTGAATGTTTAAAAGAGAATTCTTTCTATTAATTTCAACTGAATTTGATAAAGTGAAGGGGCATAATAATGACACGCTTTCTCAAAAGCATAATGTATTTACATCCACAGGAAATTTTCCAAAAAGTTTCTCTGGTATCTATTTAAGGGCAGTGCTCATTTAAAACTTTCTATTTGCAAAATATATTACAAAGTAGTATGAAATTTTTCTTTGTTTATTTTGTTTAAAAACGACAACATCCACATAAAAAAACAGAAACATACAAAAACAATAGCATTTCAGCTCAAAGACTCAGAAAGTCAATGGAAGGATGTAGCCCTAACATCAAACAATATTTTTGTTTCTAGGTGCTGCACTTATTTGGGGGGCAGAGCCACATAGCTAAATATATGTGCTTAATAAATAATTGCCTTGAGGAAATAAATAACCTTAAAAACAAGGCTGCAGAATGCTTACAATCATCACTCAAGACTGATTTACATCCAATACATGTGCTTTTTTTCTTGGTGAACATGGCCAGCTTGCTAACTTTTGATGTGACAATGGTTTTTGTGAGTGTATGTTGGCCCTCTGAAAAGAAAGAAAGTTAGATCCTGTTAAAACAGAAACCAGGCTGGAAATAAGAAATAAGTGTAAATACATTATATCTAAAATGTTCTCTATGCTAACAAGCCTTTATTTTTATTTTTTAGTTTAACAATTTAGTTTAACAGTTTACTCTTACATTTCTTCTTTTATTCCAAATCTGTAGGCAGTTTGCAAATTCTCAAACAAAACAAATTCAATCAATCAATAAAAAACAGTGTCATGAGTATGTGAAATATCATCATCCATGTGAGAGTAGTTTTAAAAAGGACTGTTGTTAACCATGATGTTTCAAGTTTCGACAACCTCAAAACAAAATGACTACACTCAGATTGGACCCGCCTTTTATCTCCCACAGAGTGTGTCAGTGAGCTCACATTTCATCTTAATACACTACGAACAAAAACCTAAAAGAATCTGATGGTCACATTTCAGAGAGCCGACCAACTTTTTAAAACAGTTGCAAAGTCTATCAGATGAAAATGAGCCTTCAATACTCACTTAACAGAACAGAAGTAGCCTTTGCCTCTCCCAGAATTGGTTCAAATATTCTCAGCAGTGGATTGGACAACTGGTTTTCCAGGTAGTACTTTGTGTCTATGGGAATGTTGTTTTCCAAAACATAGATGGGGTCCTGAAACAAGACAGAAAAATTCTTGTAACTCCCTCACTTCGAGAGCCACAAGGTTCTAATACTTTATTATACTTTACAAGTGCTTCTTACTTTTGTGTCTGCGGATGGAATCCTGCCAGCTGAATATTGAAATGAAAGCTACTGAGCAGTACTTTTGAATGGTGGTATTTAGTTGCCAGTACTTTAAGTACAACTATTTTTTCCTAAATTTTGACTTTTGGCAAACTTAGGAGTGACAAAGATCAAATTGTTTGTTCAAGTACTACATTAAAGGTGCATACATTTGTGGACAGTTAGGTTAGTGCCTAAACTTGACTCAGTTTAAACCTATCCCTCCCTCCCAGGAATGCTTATAATAAACAAAATTAAATCATTGAACTCAGAGAACATGATGGATGACTCTTTTACCTCTGCTTTTTCATAAGCCTTCTCCCCTTTTGCACCTGCTATGATGACATATGGCACTCTGTCACCTAACTTTGGAGCAGAACCAGCATCACGTTTTCGCATTCTAGGGAACAGTGTCAAGAGCAAATGCAGTTAAGAGTATTTTTCCTTTGAAAACTATAATAAGAACATTTTTGACCATGAAACAACCACAAGAACTGTCAAAAGCTCTGTAGCTCTATTGTATAAACTGGTTCTGACCGGTTTTTGTCATATAAGCATTTAACTCATGAAAGAAAAATGATAAGTAAATTAATAATAATAATAATTTAATAATAATAATAATAATAATAACAAAATCTTTATTAATCAAGTAAATCACACTTCTAATCTACACCTCAACAACAAAACTATCCTTAAGTAATAATTACTTAATTATTAAACCGTTTCAAGTTAAGTCTATTCGGATAATTTATATTCACAATTTTTTAAAATGTTTAAAAAGGATTTCTTTCTATGTGTAAAACATGTAGAGTTAAAATACGTGTCATCAAAGGCACAAATTTACAACACTTTACAAATTTACAATACTATAATATTCTCAATAATAATGATAATTAATAATAATTAATAATAATAATGATGATGGTGATGATGGTGATGTTGCTTTGAATTAATGCACCACAATAGACATAGCAGAAAAAGTGGTACATAGAGGATATTTATGGCCGCTTGCAGATACAAAAATTTCAACAAGAGAAGAGAAATTCTGTATCTCCAAGCAGCCATCTAATGTCCTATTTATTACATAAAAACCAATGAAATACCAAACCTTTTCAATTTAATAGTTTATTAAACCTACCTTTCAGCCAGCTCAGAATGTGCTTGTTTTCCAGCATACTCATCTCCAGTCTTTGTTAGTTCCTTTGTAATAACCAGCTGTGAGATATCAATTCTGTTGCAGAGCAAGTCTGATATAACCTGTTTAGTGTATTCCACTGCTCCCATGGGATCCCTGTACAAAATAATAGTAAAGGTAAACAACACAAATCTTTTAAGGCATTTCCCTCATCCTCGGAGACCCAGGGGCAAATAGTGGGGGTGAGGGAAAGTCTAAACAGGCGGAAAAATATGGCACGAAGAAAAGTAAAGAACGGCGAGAAGAGCCCCTGGGGACAATGTCTTACCAGACCAGTTCCAAACGGTCGCCGCCGTTCTGGATTCTGGCACCAATCAGAAGCCAGAACGGCGGCGACCGTTTGGAACTGGTCTGGTAAGACATTGTCCCCAGGGGCTCTTCTCGCCGTTCTTTACTTTTCTTCGTGCCATATTTTTCCGCCTGTTTAGACTTTCCCTCGCCCCCACTATCTGCCCCTGGGTCTCCAAGGATGCATTTCCCTATGCCTTTAAAGCTCATTGCAAGAAACAAAGCTGTAGCGCTTCCATGAAGAGTGCAAATGCTGATCCTTACACAAAATTTAGCAAAGGGGGGTAGGGGTGGATCCAAGGATTTTTGCCAGGTAGGGGACGGGGGTTGAAACTAGTTCATAACATTGGAACTGTTTTACAGTCATAATAGATAATAAACTGTTAATTATTCTCACATTTCTTTGCTGTTAAAATGTCACCATGTTACTGCATAACAACCTCATATAATACAAAAGCACTTTATAGTAAGATAGTATGTAGCTCTCTTCAGGAACTTCTTATTCTATTCGACCTTCCAATAACCTTTTCCCTAGTGCACATGGGCAGACAATTCTCCATAATAATTGTGGAGTCATCCAGAGTTGGTGTATTATGATCTCTTCTAAGACCCGTTTTTAAACTTTGGAAATAAAAAAAAATAGTTAATTGCATATTATGGTACCTTTCAATGAGAACCTTTTGCAGGCAGGAATTAATAAGGTTTGCAACAAGCGGACAGTTATCTCTCCTGACCTACAGTAAAAAGGGAAACAAAAATAAAATGTTTAGTGACTGTATTATGAGGAAACAAACATCCATAGATACTAGCTGTCTCCTGAGTGAGTGCAAAGCAACTGGCAATAGTTATGATATAGCTAACATATTGTATTACAAAGAAGGTAGCACAAATAATTTATAAATACTCCATCATCTAGGAGGCAGTGATGGGGTTCCACTGTGAGTTTAGAACTATTACAGACAATCTTTATAAACAGTAACGTTATTGTAAAAATTGGAAATAGAGCAATATATTTTTATTTAAAGTACAAAATAATCCTGATCTTACAGTTTCAATTCCCTTGCAGTCCATCTTATCATGTTTTTCAGCTTTAGTAAAGTATAGTCCGGCATAACGCTTCTTGCTGATTAGGAGATAAGGAAAGTACACCTGTGTACAGAAAATACAGGTATACTAGCAGCTAAGCTATCACCTCAAGTGCTCACAGTAAAACATGAACTGAAGACTAAACTTAGCTAAAATTCAAACAACCAGTAACACTTTAAACTGTTATCAATGACATAAATGCCACTGGCTGTTGCTGCACTGAGCCTGCCCTGGACTATAATTTTTAGTACATTACAGCCCTAATTTGAGTACGATTTATGTTAATTATTCTAGTTATTCAAAAAATATTGAAAAGGAGGTTGTACCATGAACAAAATACTGGATAAAGTTAACGCAACCCTATAAATAACATGTAACATCATGCAAATGCAAATCGTGGATCCTCTATTAAGCCCCCCCCCCCCCCGGGGGGGGGGGGTTATTTTTATTTCAAACACATTTGAGGGGGAGGGGCTTATTTAATTTAGCAAAGACAATTGTATTCATAAAGAACTTAAGTTGTGCAAAGTAGAAAGACTTAAGGCAAGGAGTTGGACGCCATGCAGCCAAGGATCAAAAACAAATCTGAAATTCCAGCTGGTGAATAAAGCATCCTGGATCAGTCCAAATGGAGTGTTACATTTGTAATTGATTAAAACAATCTACAGCGTGCAAAGAAAGTCGTGTCTAGTAGATTTTGCTGTCGGGCTAGTGATGTTTGTTCTTAGCTTGCTCGATGGGCAAGTGCTGTTTTTTTTGGGAAATCCAAATTGCAGGATTGTAATCAATCCTGCTAACCAAAAAGGGTTTTGGGGCTAGTTGAAATGACTGAGTTGTGGGCTAGTACATGCTACAACCCCGGACAAAACCTGTTGAGACAAATCTCGAAAATGCCTATTTTTTCCTGTCATCCCGGCAAAAACTGAAACCTCTGCCAAGTGAATGTCTGATTTCCCCCCTCCCCTTATCCAAAGTTGTTTAGGATAGCATGGCAATTATTATACACGTTGGTTTTTAGACCAAGGCAACTTTGAATAGGGGGTGGGGAGGAGGTTTACTTTTTGTGTTTAGGGGAGACGGGAGTAGGGTGCAAAAGTTAAAAAATAGATGGAATTGTCTCAACAGTTTTGTCCGGGGTTGTAGCTACAGCTTGCCCGAATGGCAGGCTGTAAAACTGACTTTCTTTGCACCCTGAGTCTATCATTTATTAGTAAACAATAATAAGGACGAGGGGGGCGGGAAAGGGGCTTAAAAGAGGATTTACAGTATTCAAAGTACAAACTTACCTTTTCAAACTCTAATTTAATGGGCTTCACAAAATGTGAGGAGACATAAGCTGCAGCTTCTTTGCCAAGTTCCATGCTCTCTGCAACAGATTCCACTCCAAACTTGACCATTACAGAATCAGTATCTCCATAAATGACCTTTGCAGTTGTCTTGTAACCATTTTCCATGGTATACTTGGACTCCACAAGCTCTTTTGTTCTCTCAATCATCATACGGCCAAAGGCTGTTACACTCTGTGAAGGTATAATGAGTTTGTTTTCAAATTCTGTAAAATTACTGGGTAAGGTAGGTATTCGCTAGGTAAGCAATCTCTCAAAATTTATAAGCTTTATGTTACAAAATCTAAGATGCAAAAAAAAAAAAAAAACACGAAAATCTGACCATTAAAACACTTTAATAACCTTAAACACAATCAGAGCTCTGTAAGCAGAGTTTGAATTTCTATGAAGCAATGCAAAAATTCCAGGCTTTTTCAAGGGCAACTGTATGAGAATTCCATGACCCAAACCTTGATTGAACCTTTAACAGGCTCACTCATAATTTGTGCACATCTATCAAGTTTAGTATTTTAGGACGTTAAAGAGGCCCCCTTAGGGGCGGAGGGGGGGGAGTGTACGTATGTCCCTAGTCTGAATTTCAAAAATGATTGTTACACTTTTTAGGAGTAGGCCATGTCCCTGTTAGTATTTAACCCATCTTTATGAAGTGGTGGGTGGGGGGGGTTGTCCATTTTCACAATTTATGAAAAATCAAATAAGCAATTCAGACTCAATGAAAATCATGGTTCAGAACAAAATAAACATGTATTTTTCATTTCACGAAAAATAATTTTAATTAAATTACATTAAATTAGAGGAGCATGAATGGAGTGGCAAGGGATTTAACAACACTGAACCTTTTCAGTTGCTTTCCAAACTTTTCTTTGTCCATTTCAATTATTTTCAATTAAATTCAATCACCTGTGAAATTGGCAGACAGGGAAGTTTACCAACTTGAGCACCAGTAAAACCATAAACTGAGTTAGCACTTAGCTTTAAAGCCAGTTGTCGACCATCAAGAACCTAGAAAGAAAGTTTGCAGTAACACTAGAGCTGTACTCTAGAAAAAGAAAATCATAACTGGGGCCAGTTTAATTGCTGGTTTGCACGTGACGTCACGGCGGCCATGTTGGTGGTCAAAAACAAAAGCCTTTCTCTCCTCTGGGAACTAAACTCTATTTTCATGTAAATTCTTCGAGGAAATATTCTTTTGTTTTGACCCCCAACATGGCCGCCTGGTCACGTGGTTGCAAACCAAGAATAAGACATTATTTCACAAGTTAATTTACAAACTTAGTGTAGCTATTGTTTTCAGACTCCAAGACAATAGTTACACTATTGTAAATTACACTTTTAAAAGTTATATTAAATTGACCCATGTTATGGACAAATGAAAAATGTATGTGCATTTTACATTAAGTTTTTTCTTAAAGTAAGAGAAAGTTGTGTTATGTCTGCAAACAATAAGAGATTTCATGTTGTTGTTAATAGTATTAGTTCTTGTGCATGGACAAAAGATTGTAGACATAAATTAAATTGACCAATTATTAACAAGACATACAAGAAACTTGGAATTCCAGAAAAAAAGAACATTAATATCCTCTTACCTTTTTCTTGAAGGGGTCTGTCTCTTTTTTCAGGTCCTCCTTAGCCCTGCATCATCAGGATCACAAGAGAAGAAAATAATCAGAATAACTGGAAATACTGGTAGTTTTTTAATATGTATTGTAACAAAAAGAAAAACAGACAGGAAACACTCTAATATTCCTCATATGGACTTGTTCCACATTTTCCTGAATACATTCATCTTTACTGCATTTGCTCGCCATAAGAACTAGAAATAGTGCTGGGCACAGTCAATATTAATTTATAGAACTAAAACTCAGACAAACAAAAAATTGAAAATAACATTTTTTGTTGTTGTCCGAATTCCTTACTTTTGTTTTTCTTTTGTTATTAAAATGTCATGTTTGAATGACTTTTGTCATTTAATAAAAAAAAAATAAAATAATGTAATTTTCTTGCCTTTTAAGGTAAGTTTTTTGTCCTTTCAGATTATTGTTAAGGAGAGGGTAGTAGTAATTATCAACAAGAATGTGCTTACAGAGGCATTCAGGTCTCACCTGCTTGGAGATTAGATTGAGAAATGAGGAGACGATTAATTCTACAAGTCATGGTTTACTCTCTAAAGGTTTTTTACTTCCTACTTTATCGACGTCGATACTTTTTATTTGTTTCTGAATAGATTTAGTACATGTGTTAGCGACGACCAAAAAAAAAACCTCTGCGGTTGCAGGCTATGCACATGTATAAATACACGAAATTTCAAGGGCCTCTATTCCAGAGAAATTACATCATTGCCAGAGATCGAAAAACTGATTTACATGGCACGTCATTTCAATCATTGCTGAAAATAAATTGCATATATGCTCATAACAAGACTTATTTACATGCCAAGAGGGGTTAAAGTTTACAACACCCCACCATCGCAATTTTGCTAATTAAGATTCTTATTTTTTTTCAACCACTCAGTAGTGTTTACTTGTTCCAAAAGTAATCAACACTTTCAAGCAATAGAATTCGTTGACCGACACATTTGGGAAAAGCTCTAAATTTAATCTTTCCTAGAAGCTTTCTTTGCAAAACATGCGTGGCTTTGATCATGCATGGATTCTCAGTCCCAGTTTCCACCGTCTCTACAAGGAACGCCTGGCACAATGACTCCCCTTTTGTGTCCCAAAAAACGACCAAAAAAAAATTCTGGGGGGTACTTCCAGAAAAATTGCGAGGGGGTGTGCGGCATGCTTCCTGAAACCCTTACCCTACTTCAGATCAAAATCTGTGATTTTCCCTACCCTATTTCAGACCTGATCAAAAATTTGATACCCTATTTCAGACCTGAAGCCCGGGAGCCCGGAGCATGACCGCAGCCTGTGACAAGCTGTTATGGGATGTACACGGTAGTTGGCGTAAACATTAAAAGGGAAATGGTCTTCTTGCCAAAATGATGAAGACGTAGCTAATTCTTCTAAAAAGCATACCCTATTCAAGACTAGAGTGCACAAACCATACGCTATTTCAGACCAAAATGGTTGAAATGGATACCCTATTTCAGACCAAAACGGCTAAAACAAAATATACCCTTTGGCACAGCACTTACCTGTGTAGCCTATGTAAGGGGCTACCATGCCCCCCGGGGGGGTGAACAATGCGTTGCAGATTATGAGTCTCACTGCTTACACAAGCGAGACTAATTAAAATGGTCAGGCATCTGTTATCTTTTCTTTTTACAGAAACACAGTGACAGTAGCTGTACAGTGGATTAGTGTACAATGAAAGTCATAGTTGTGTATTGACTTCTATGTTCCTAACTTGCCTCACAGGCTTGGAAGAAATCAAATTACAGAAGGAAGTACTATAATCACTCCTGCCCCTCAAAAACGTTCTTTAGGCTAGTTAAAATAAATTACTCTTGGACTAGTACATGCTAGATGTAGCTAAGCTGCAAAAATGACTTTCTTTGCACCCATGTGGATTCCCTGTGCATAATTTCTGCAGTTTATGTTGGCTGAGCTGCAGGATTTGGAACAACAAGCAACCATGGTGGTAAATCTGGTTCTGATTGGCAACAAGTCTCTGGATGCTGCAGACAGCTACCCCTTCCACTAAAAGATGAGGCGATTGGTTAACTGTATCATAACAGCGCTGAAACAAAAACTTCAATTCCAGCATGTCCTCTCAATGGCAAGCAGTTGTAAGATTTTGCTTGCCCAGGCAACCACGTGCTTAATTGTCTTATAGTCGGGGAGCCAAGACCGAGAAATGAGCGTTTCGTTCACCCCTCGCCACAGAAAAGGTTTGACAGTGGATCATTGCTCTTTGATAACTCCTGAATAAGGCCAGATAGTTCGTAGAGTCGAAAAGTGGGGTCAGTGACGAGATAAGGGGACATTTTTGTGTCGTATTTTGCATGTCAGCATGAAAACGAGGCTGGTCAATTATCTCTGTTTTTTTGCCGTTATTTTCTTCACTGCGTGGCGTAAATAGACAGTTAACGTCACAGTTTTCTGTTTTGTTAGTTCAATAATGACACAGCAGTTCAATAAGTAGACAACAGATCAATAACCACACCAGTGGTTCAATGACTACACACCAGTTCATTGAGCGTAATGCACCAGTCAATTCCACCTGCGCCCAGGCCCCCCCCCCGGGCTGACCCCCGGGAATTAGCATTTTTTTTGCCTTGGATGGCAAATTCCCGGGGGTGGGGACTCTTGAGCTGGCAAATCCCCCGGGGTGGGGACGAAAAAAGAGGGCAAATGCCCCGTCCTCCGTCAACAGTGCAACATTTTTTATTGATCGCACAGTCCAATAGTGCCATTTTAATGTGCGATTTTTTGTTTCAATTAACGTCTTCCTTTGTATAATAGCGCTAGGATTCTAACTAAGACTTCACGCCGCGACGACATGCACCAGTTTATGGTTTTAGTATTGATATAAAAGTATTGACATTAAAATTAACAGAGCGCTGTAAAGTTATTTGTTATGAATAGTTTTATAAATATGAAAGGGTGTTCTTCAAATGATATCAACAGAAACTTGATTCAATAACAAAAAAACGTTGATTCACATCGATAGCTCCAATTTCGCTATGTAATTCTGGCTTGATAAGCAATGAAGAAATGCATACATACATGTAAAATCGTGAACATGCCTTTACAACCCTCTACAATTTATTCCTGTCCTTGACAGATGAGCCAATCTGCTTTTTTTTTCCAGTAAAACCTTCTGTGTAGTTATATTCTGATAGGAAACCGCGTGCGTGTCAAAAGCTCGGGAATGGCCCGGGGGTTGGCAAATAGGGGGTTGGCAGGTGGAATTGACTGATGCATAAACTACATGCAGCTGCGGGAAGAATAGCCAGAAATACGCCAGCCACGTGACCAATCACGTGATATCAACAATGTACTATTTTATGTGCGTTATGTTAACTAGTGACGTTAACTGTCTATTTACGCCACGCAGTGAAGAAAATAACGGCAAAAAAACAGAGATAATTGACCAGCCTCGTTTTCATGCTGACACGCACAGTACGTCACAAAAATGTCCCCTTATCTCGTCACTGACCCCACTTTTCGACTCTACGAACTATCTGGCCTTATTCAGGAGTTATCAAAGAGCAATAATCCGCTGTCAAACCTTTTCTGTGGCGAGGGGTGAACGAAACGCTCATTTCTCGGTCTTGGCTCCCCGACTATTAGTAATTGACTTAGTTGGAGGATAATTTGCCTAGACCATTGCCCATTGGGGAGTGAGCTTGAAAAGTTACTTGCCCAGTAAGAAATCTACTGGTTGGGCCTTGTTTGGAGCCCTGTAGGTGGAGTCAAACTTCTACAACTTACTTCTTCCTTGCGGAAAGCAGGTTCTCAAGAATCTCAGGCAGCAATCCTTTTCTGACAGATGCCTTGACAAAATGATCACCAGAGGGTGTCTTGATAAATTCATCTGGTTTCATTCTGCAATGACATCAAAATGTATAGCAGATTTATAACTAGTAATAGTTGACATTACAGCTGCCCCCGTTCTGTAAATTCATTGTATAAATAATGTCGGTCAATAGTATTCTTGCTCGTTGTGTAACTCTTTGAAATATACCGATTCATAATGAAGATTTTCACACATATTCCATACAATAGGTAAGATAAATACAGGAAATGCAAGGTTCCATGCACAGTTTCAGTTCGATTAATTTTTACACAGCTTTGATCAAAACATTCTCAGTTTCGAAAATAGTTTATTCTAAACCATAAGAAAAGATTTAACTAGAAGTTGAATTTTTCGCTATGATTTCTCTTTCACTTTTTACATTTATTTCATTTTATTTGCCGCAAAGTAAGCCTTAGAAATTAAAACGTTTGATCAATTCACACACATTCTAGTCTTATTTTAAACTTTATAGTGGAAGGACATCTGTGAGCAGGGAATAAGTCAGCACGGAATTTGATTGTCGGCAAATTTCTGTAATTGTCCATCGTTTGGCTAGTGATAAGCTAGCCGATGTTAACTTGTCTTGTTTATTTGGGGCTGAGTCTTATTCCAGTCAAAGAGAGAGAAAGAGTGTATGGCAAGGTTTCCAATCAAAGATTTGGGAACTCATGTCTGGCAAACTCTCCAAGTGTCGTACCTTATAACTTCATCTGCGCTTAACGAGTGTCTTTTGGTCCATAACTTTCAACACAACTACTCCACAGAATGTCACTGGTAACACGTAATGCAAAAGAGTATCGAAGTACGACTGTACAATAAATGTCACAAAAACTACCTTGCCGCCGCCTGGTTAGCTCAGTTGGGAGAGCGCCGGTCTACTGAGCGGGAGGTCGCGGGTTCAAACCCCGGCCGGACCAACACTCAGGGTCTTTAAATAACTGAGGAGAAAGTGCTGCCTTTGTAATAATATCTGCAAACGGCTAGACTCTCTAGTCTTCTCGGATAAGGACGATAAACCGTAGGCCCCGTCTCACAAGCCCTTGCACATGTATTAAATCTGTGGGACGTTAAAGAACCCACACACTCTTCGTAAAGAGTAGGGCACGTAGTGCCCGGTGTAGTGGCCTATCTCACTTTCACACTCATGTATGGAGGCATCATTACTCATTCCTTCACTACTTGTAAACTGCACCTTAAGCAGTCTGGCAAAGTCCCCCAAACAGTGTTGTAAATTATCCCTGAAAAGCCCTGAGGGGAGTGGATAATAAGATATTTACAATTTACAATTTAAGCGGTTACTTCAGGATTTTCAGTCTTGATGTCATCCTAAGCATTTTGTACTTGCGGGCGCAAACAATAGAAGCGTCATCATTACCTATACTACCAATTCCTCGCGGCCCCTGCTCAAGCAAATCGTGATTTTTTAGCATACTGACTGTATATTTCAGCTGTAAGTACTTTCCTTACTATGCGTGCGAGTTACTAGAGTGCCTCCTCACAGAAGGCGAAATCCCTGCGGGGGCAATAAATTTCGTGTGAATTTTTGTGAGGGGGGCGGGGGGAATGGTGCTGTTGGTATTTTACAAATATGGCTTTTTTATTGAGTTTGGAGACTTGCTATCCATTAATTCATCAAGCTCTCATAGTGACCTCACCAGTATTGAAGTACTCCTTACAATCATGAGTTCAAATTTCAGCCACACCCAGGACTGTGCTCTAACAGAGCCCTCTGGCCCCTGGCACCTGACTTTTGCCATCGGGTGACAAGAAAATCTCAGATTTTTCATACAAATCTGGGCACCCTAGATTTTACAGTTTTAGAGCACTGGGCTCCCTTCAATTTTCCTTAGAGCACAGCTTTGACACCAACTACAAGGGGCTTTGAAATACTGGCTAAAAGGCATGATGGCTGTGTATCTGTTCAGGGGCAGTCAAGTTAAACTGTTGTGCCTTTTGTTTTCTTGTTTTAAAAAGGATGTTAAGAAACCCATACTATAGTCGAAACAAGTAGGACAGAGACCCCAATCCTGAGGTTTATCTCCTCGAAGGGTGTTGGCAAATGGGCTGTTCAGGCCCTAGTAAATGACCCTATTTGCTGTGGTATCCCTGCTATACACAACAAAGCAAATAAAATATCCCTCATTTGAACAGGTTCTGGATGTGACTGAAAACTGGACAAACAACTTCAGGTAATTGACAACCCTTGAGTTGTTTTGTATGAAGAATTAACTGATCATTATTTTTTATTGTTTAAACCAGTGACTTACTCATTGAGTTTGGTCTGATGAAGTAGCGATGTGTAACACAGGTTATGAGCCATCATGATAGATGGATACAGTGAGGCAAAATCAAGGGTGGCAACTGGGGAATCATAATACCTGAAACGGATATGAATAAATTAAATTGACAACTCTTGTTTTGCTGCAAGTTTAGAGGGGCTATACGAAATGCTATGTTATATCTTCTTAAAAACCTTAAGTCTTTTTGCATCAAATGAATTGCAAAAATAATGGTCCAGTTTTGTTATTTAAAACTATATTTAGGTATTGGAACTGTTTCCTGTTTTGCTACAGATGGCAAGTATGGACATGGATTGAAAATTGAAACTGTGGGACCATCTTGTTTATGTTTTAATGCTATGCTTGCAGAAATCACCAAAATATGTATTATGGTTTGTGCTTCCTGATGAAATTGTTTGATATCTTCTTCATAATTCTATGGGAGCTATTGCATGAGTAAAGGCACCTAATTAATGACTTCAGCACATAATTGACCTAAAACAGCAATATCCTTGTAACACAGCCCTTGTAAACTTTATATTTAATGAAAACAAAAACCAAAACCAAAAACCCTTGCTTGTCTCTGCAGGTATATTTAGCAGGCACTAACAATTCTGCCGGTAAAAAAAAGTACAAAAGAAATGAATGCTGATTGATACTTCTAAAGGAACAGAGCCATAAAAGGCACCCAAAAAAGAAACTTTCACTGGATACTTAATTCCCTGTCTGTTAAAAAGAATCAGTGTGCAAAGAAAGTCATGTCCTATAGCCTAGGGCTAGTAGATTTTGCTATAGGGCTAGTGAACCTATGTTCTTAACTTGCCTGACGGGCAAGTCAAGTTTTTGGGAGAACTCAAATTACAGATGAACGGTAAGCAATTCATCCCATCAAAAACTCTTGGGGACTAGAGCAAATGAATTTGGGGCTTACCCGAATGCCAAACTGTAAAACTGACTTTGGTTGCACCCTGAGAATGCAACTATCCAAACAGAATAAAGTTGTTTCTTATAATTATTATAAGAAAAGACTTTATGGCAAGAGGAGGAAAGCTGAGGGGAATTCTGCTAAGAGGAATATGATCCTACAGATGCTGTTGCCATGTTGTCTTACCCTTTAACTGGCTCAATGACAGTGGCACCTGTGTACTCCTCTCCTGCTTCAGCTTTGTGAGCAGGAAGTAACAAGTCTTGTTTCTTGGACTACAAAACATACACATAGTAAGATTCATAATAAAAATAACTTTTTTCAGTGAGAGAACTCAAAACTAGATTATTTGATTAAAATGTCAGTGTTAATAGTTAACCAAAAATTACTTGTGTGAGTAGAAATTCAAAAACTTTTTAAGGTGATTCCCTAGTTTTGCACTGCGCATCTCTTACTGCGCATAACAAAATGGCCGCCGTAAAAAAGAGCATGTGAAGTAATATTATTAAAATGAAGTTGACTGAAGAGAAACGCTATTGGAATTTTTGCTTGCTGCTGTTTCTTGCTGAGGTGAGACTCAGTGTGTTGGGAATGTGCATAACGTAAGCAGTACACGTGTTGCTGGGTTCGACCTCCTCCCTGAGAACCTCGATAGTGGATGTTTAAGTTGTGCTTACTCACTTTGATTTTCATTTAAACACTTTTTTTATCACATTGTGTCCTAACTGTGATATCTCGATGTAAATTCTGTAAAAACGGATTTTTTAATACTTTCTTCCCCCTTTCACATACACTCTATTTTGAAACTCTCCCCAGTCCTCTCTCAAAAATTGGAGAAAATGCGTTTGGTGCGCACTTTCTACAGCTCTACCGCAAAAACGAGTACGGTGACCCCCATTATTTATTTCATGATTTTAATAAGGACAGTGCTTCCTTTTGATGAGAAAAAAAGTGGCACAAATCTCTGTTCGGTTTTTTGGCAATTTTACTAAATTGTATGGATTGAGCCATCATGGGTCGAAAAGCACGCGTCCAATTTAATTCTACTTTGGAGCGTAAAGTAAAAACAAGGGCATTAAAAGGCATTTTTCTGGTACGAAAGTGAATAAACAATACATTAAAGTCAAATTCTGTGTGATGCCACATGCATCTTCGAAAAAATCTCTCCTTTTTGTCTAGTTTTGGGCTGCCCGCGGTTTTTGTAAAAGGGTCCCAAAGAGCCGTATTTGTCAGCATTGTGACGTCAAAACGGGCACGGTGACCCCCACTTTTTATTACTTTTTTATCATCTTCTTGACTTGTTACATCAGTGCACCAAGTTTTAGCTACAATCTATGTTGGGTTCTTTTACTTTGGAATCACCTTAAGGAAAAAGGAAACTGAGATTCCAGCTACTATGCAGTTATATTAATGACCTACAACATTTACTTGCCATGGGAAAGTGGACAAGACGTCTTTATTTGGCCCTGTAAATAGCTGAGAACTGATTAGGCACTCTCTCAAATAGTAGCCATACATGTTTCAGGGCTGTCGCCGTGGGCCACATTCCTAGTAGCTGGGGGAAATCTCTGGCCCCCACCTCTTAATGACAGCCCTGTGTTGCTAAAAGAATTTACTATTGTATACCTGCCAACTTTTTCTGAGATATAAGCGTGAGATTTTTATCCTGGGAGTGCTGGGATTTTTGAAGACGACAAGATCATTTCCGAAGATTCCCGAAGAAGTCCTAAGTTTTCCGAAGAAGTCCGAAGTCTTCCGAAGACGTCCGAAGTCTGCCGAAGGCGAAGTTATCGAGAAAACGCTTATCCACAAAGTCAGAGATCGCGAGGAAGGTATTGTCACTTATTCATTTTACACGCGGTTTTCGTTCCTTACATTGGTCTGAGTTAACATATTTTTGGAAATTGTGTCAAGCAAGACGGCAACAACTCACATTTTTCAATCAGGCGTGAGAAATTGGCCGGCAGGCGTGAGCGGGCGTGAGGTCGAAGTTTTCAACCCGCAGGCGTGAGACACACGCCTAAGGCGTGAGAGTTGGCAGGTATACTATTGACATGTAACTGGGACCCCTAAGTCACATCTATAAGAACAGGAAGTACCATTCTAAGGAGTTGTGAGACAACTTTAATCTGCTGTCCTCTTGATAACAGATAGCCCAGTGGTACACCAGTCACACGTGCCATCTCCATGTAGTTTATTATGCACATCAGCTTCTCCAATAACCTTAAAGGTAGAATGGCATCTTTCATGCAGTAAATAGCAAGTCTACGACGAGTTTGGTCATTTCCATTCTAAAATACAAAGTCAACAAAACACTTTGTTAGGGGTACTTGTGAAAGTATATGTAACCATCAATAACTGTGAAAATTATGTCTGACTGAACTGATTCTGGCAAAAATTGAAGATCTCCTTTTGAGAGTTTGGAATGAGGTTGTCTCAGGGAATTCTAGATACACAACTTTCCAGGTACTTTATTATTCTCTGTGCCTAGTGTAGAGGTAAATAATAAGATTGAGGATTTGTGGATAGCAATAGCCACTTGAAGAATCAAGGAAAAAATTTTTTTCTAACTAAACAATTCTGGCTGTGGCATCCTTTAATAAGTTGTAATAAGTAAACACCTAGTGCTTTAATTCCGTGAATTTGTTTATCTTGTACCTGCAAATCTGTGATAATATTGTGATGTACGTCCTCCTTCTGTTCTTGCAGGAAATGAAAACTGACAGAATTTAGTGTGTAGGACCTCAGTTTATAGTCTCTTAACAGAGCATGTAACAGATCAAACTGCACTCGACCAGCAATGTTTATGACTTTGTTCTCCCGCTTTCCATAAGCTCGTGATTGAAATGTTGTGTTGGATATTGTACTCTTTTCATCCTTCACTCTTCCAAGAAGTGAAAAGGTCTGTACTTTTAAAGCTGCAGCTCGGTTCAGTAAATAAGGAAGATCAAAGTTCACAATGTTGTATCCAGTGATGATGTCAGGATCCACTTTCTTGACAAAATCACTCCATGCCTTTGAAAATTGAAATGTTACATAACTCATTTTAGACAATTAAAACATGACAAGCCACAATGTTTGTGCCAAGAAGTTACAGAATAATCTAATCACATCAGGATAAAAGTGATATTCAATTTCCTAACAAAATAATGATCATTATATATTAACAGAAAAAGATATGGACAGGGTCCGTATAGATTTTTGGATCCAGAATTCAAGACTTTTTCCAGACTTTTTCCAAAACAATATTTTTTTTGCTTTTTCCAGACTCAGGGTTATCAAATGAATGATCAATAGACACCTTAAAAAACACAGGAACAAAGCTCTTTTCAATGATATACTGCAAGCGCATGGACAAGATTGAATAAGATTTGCTGTAGCTTAAAAAAAAAACTCAAGACTTTTTACCATTTTTCCAGACTTTATCGCCACTTCCCAGACTTTTTCCAGGTCTGGAAAATTGCTGAGCAAATTTCAACAACAAGACTTTTTCAAGAATTCAAGACTCTGTACGAACCTAGACTTGCTACAAGTTGACCTCTTGGCAAGCGGAGTGAGCCTTTTTTGGCCGCGAAGCAGCCGACTGCGAGCGACGAAGTGGCGAGAGGTCGACTTGTCTCGCTTGAAGGGTTTCTATTTGCATTTCAAGCCAAAAATGGGGAGTAGCGTGACTAGCATTTGGGGTTTCAGGTTTTGTTCAGTCCTTGACTTCAATGGTGGAATGTGTTGATTCGACTCCGACTAAATCTATTGAACGTGTGTGTGTGTATCTCCATCATCAAAGGAGCAAATTTGTTTACTTTGTGCAAAAGTTTTCTCTAACAATGATTTTAAGTGATTTCGTTTTAGGTGACGAAAAATGTGTCACTAACTGTTGAGGATCGCCTTGGGACTCCCAAGTACTATTTTCTCTTTCAGATTTAAAATATCCTCTAGCTCTTCTTCCGAGCAATCGTCTCCTATGTACAATGCTCTAATGCCATGGGAATTTAGGTTTGAGACAATCACCAACACGATGGCATTGCAATCCTCGCCAAATAAACCATCGAAAGTGTATGGAGCCAGTTCAAAAGTCAGACTCTTGCCAGCTCCAGTTGGAGAAGACACAAAAACATCCCTTCCCGATACATATTATGCTTCGATTGTTTTCCTTTGATATTCACGCAATTCGGAATAGCCCGTGGCCTCAAGAGCATCTTTCATCGCTTTTGCAATCGACTACATGTTGGAATTTGAACCGCAAGTCACGTTTCAATGCGCTTAGTACTTGTGAGTGACAGCTTTATCCCCAAGGGTCCTTGGGAGCTACTCTGCTTACATGTATATTCCCATTTGGCGGCCACTAAAAAAAACCTCCAACGAGCCTTTACGTAAAGTAAAAACTTATTATTTTAGTGTCTCAGAATGTTTAAGACGTGATCATCATAAAACGGCTAATGATAGCTGTTCCCTTGGTGAAGATTTCTTTTTTGGGGCGGTAATGCCTTTTGGAAAACGGTAGAAGTTGCAATTCAAAAACTTCTTGGGGGATGGTTGGGGGGGGGGTCTCCATGTCTGCTTGCGACTTCCCCGGCTACTAACAACAAATACCCGGCAACTTGAAATCTTAGTGACAACCCTGTACTGGGCTAGTGTGAGTAAAATGAGGTTACAATAATTTCAGAGATGCATCAATATAACATTCCCAAAAACACAAGGAATAACTATCCTTCGCTGAACCCTTCAGAAATTCTACAAATTACTTCCAGGCTTTCCTTTAAAACATTTGGCTTTAGACTCATGATCATGAACTACAATAAAACAGGAATAAAATCAATATGATAAAAATAAAATTATTTCCTTGCAAGCATTTATTATATTACTACACCTTAAGCATTTCCGCTTCTTTCTCATACGACTTAACATGCGAACCTACAATAGGTGCACATGTATTAAGGGTGAAGACATTCCTGATGAATGGATCCTTGTCTCCCTGATTTATAACCATGTTTGCTATCTGGATTACAGGGTCCTTCTCTGGTTCAGGAAACACACCCTTTCTTCCGGCACATTCAATGTCAAAGCTCAGTATACGAACAGGAGCTATTTTGGACCATTCACCTTAAAAAAGAGAAAAAGTAAAAGAGGTAATAGCAGGCAACAAGAGGAGCCCACAATCCTAACCTCCAAGTTGTTATTATGCATGCATGGCTCATATTATGCTTCATTAGGGCTACCACTAAGAATGAATGGAATGCACAGAAGGTAATCTGATCATGCACACGTGGACCTGCTACCAATCGTTACCTGATCACATGTGCTTTGATCATGACCATCTATAATGTGATACTTGCTTAAGGATTTTTGTGTAGGATGGAACGATGATTCAAACATAGCTAGCCGCTCAGGATTTACGTACATTGCTGTACGTAATTTAGGTGTCATGATGCTTTAAGATTTCAGTCGAATTAGGGTGTTTACTAGAAAGGAAGCCACATGCATTTCCTTCCATATTTACCCATGTATGATTTAGCTACCAATATGTATAAAAGCACCTTGATTTAGCAATAAATGATGAGTGTGATCAGGACTTGATTGTGTGCTGATAGCCTGAAACCGGCCAGGTCTAGAAATAATCAAGAAGCTGACACTTCTCTGTTGCCTACAAATCCCGTTTACAACATATTCATGATAAACATCTGATGAATATAGAACTCCTATGATCTACAGCACAACCCAAAAGTATGTTACCGGTACCTCTCTTGTGAGGCACAAATGAGTAGGGTTTAAAACTGTAAGCACCAATAGGTGGATTATGCAGATCATGTGTATTTAAGGCATCTGTTGACCGACTCTCGGTTGACAGGATCGATCGACACTCGGTCGACTGTCAGTCGAGAGCCGGTTGATACTCCGTTGACATGTCAGTTGATACTCGCTCCACATGTCAGTTGAGTCTTGGTCAACACCTTTTTTTATTTGGTCGACCTGCGGTCACAGGGCTCAAAGTCTAAATTTGAGTTTGGTAGCACTTGTGCTACCAGATGTAAATTAAATAGCCGCACTGCTGAAATTTTAGGCGCACAGCTGAAAATTTTAGGAGCACAGCTTATAATGTTGGGAGCATATATTTCAGAAAAAAAAGTAAAAAGCTTAACAGTGCCACGTTTATCTGTCATCTTCAGTTTGTTACTTTTACTTCACTCCTGTGATTGATAAAAAACAGCCGATTTGCTAGGCAGGAATACCGTTGTGATTTTTAATACTAATTTCTCTTTTTGACAGTACAGTTGTGATTAAAGACAACTTACACTTGAAAAACAATTCAACACTGACAACAGTGAGTGTGTCGAACGAGAATGAAAATTAATCTTCAATGAATTTGTTAAATGCGCAATGACTTACACGTAACTGAAATACGACTTAAAAAACTTTCTTACCTGGAAAAAAAGGCTCTTAATCCGCACTGTTTTTGTTTTGATTGACGTTAAAACTGAACGTTCGACATGATCGTCCATTGCACAAAAAGAACGCATTTCATTCATAGCATATACTTGGATGTGTCAGCGGTGTTTATTACAAAACAGAAGAGTCTGGGATGGAGTAAAACATCGAAACGAAAAAGAACATTCAAGTTCGAGGAATCCATTGGGAGAAAAGACCAATTAAACATACACCGTCTTTCTAGTTCGAGTTCGTAAGTATAGTCAGAAGTAAGTCAGTCGCACTGTGCTTTGGGTTTTACGGCACACAGGTGCGGTTACACTTGAATTTTTAGACACACAACCAAAAATCCAGTCGCATATGCGACCAGTTAGTCGCTAACTTTGAGCCCTGGGTCACCACTCGGTCAATGACAGGCTGACATGTCGATCATTATGTCGCAGTCAACCGTCTGGGGCATATTGGTGCACTGTCAGTGGTATATCGGTGGACTGTTGACCGTCACACATATCAGCTGACATGGTTGCTATGTCAGTAGTTATCAGCGGACTATAGACCGTCACACATATAAGATATAGACCAAGTGACGACCGCAGGTTGACCAAGAACATATTAACTGAGTGTGAACCAAGATATTGACCGAGTGTTGACCGACTGACGACCAACAGCCGAATGCTATGTCTACCGAGTGTCCACTGATAGTATGACCGAGTAACAGTAGCCATTGTTGGCCGAGAGTCGGTTGAAACGTGCCCTAAGGACGTGCTTATTAATGATCGGGCGAGTATCAACCAATATAACGACCAAGAGTAGCCCGACTGAAAGTTGAGTGTCAGCCAATATATCGACCGACTGTAGAAAATATGTAGAAAATACCCAGTCGACCGAGAATTGACCAAGTATCGACCAAGGGTTGGTAGCTTATTGACAAACTAGCGGTGGACTATCGCCCGACATGCATGTCAGTTGACAGCAGCCAATTTGAGCCGATGCTCCACCGACATATCGACCAAGTAGCGGCTGATATGACGACTGAGTGTCGACAGAGTATTGACTGACTGTCGGTCGACACTCGACCGACAGTCTCCCGATACATCGGCCGAGTATCGATCAATACTGTCATCCGAGAGTCGGTCGACAGATGCCTTGTATACACATGATCCTATTATGCTTTGATCGTTACAGGAACCTGTATGATGTTAATAGAGTGAAAGATCTAGAAGACCTGTTGAAAGTCTTTACCATTATGTTGTTCAAACCTGCCTCTAAATTTTTGGCCAGCTCCGCAGATCTCTAGGTGGAAGACCAATCTAAGTTGCCCTTTGGCCAAGCTTACTAAACTTTTCCTAGTTTTACACTGTAGATATCAATTTCCTTTTCAGTGAAATCATAATAATCAGAGTGTCGTGCAAGCGGTCACCTTTGTAAATGACTGCAAACATTTTCAATTCTGCTGATCTGAAAGTGTAGACCTCTGGTAAAACGACTAGTAACCCTTAGTTTGATTTCGCTAGTCAAAGACATATAATAATAATTATTAGAATCTCTTGTAAATGACCACCTCTCATAAGTAATCGCAACAACTTTCAAGCCTGACAGTTTTACAATTTTTCATTGTTTTAACCTCTTGTAAGCAACAACTTGACATCTGGTGACGTCTCTTTGTTTGCTGTATGTACTATGCCACTCAGAGTATACAAAGAACTTTCAGTGACAACATGGAACTACACTATGTAACCTGCATACAATAAATTCTCTGCCAAAATGTAGTCACATGTGTTAACACCTCTTCTTGCAAGATACCCCCTTAGGTGTGATTCTCATAAGCAACTACTAAATCTTTGCATTTTGGGTGGTCACTTACGAGAGGTTTGAGGCTAAGAGTTCTAGATGTTAACCAACCTTCAGGTGAATGGCTGATAAACTCATCATAAGCTACGTCAACTTCAATCTGACAATGAGACACTGGTTGAGCATCACTTTTAAAGCTTCCTTCAAGGCTAGGTGAACGAACCCGATATTTTCCTGCAGGAAGCTCTATCCAATTACACCCCACAACATCAGTGTCTACCATAAACCGGACCTAATGGTACACAGAGCATCAGAAAAAAAAAAAACCAAAACAAAACAAAAAAAAAAGAAAAGAAAAATTTTTCAAAGTTTAATGAATATACATGTTACACATCAAAATATTTTATTTTATTTTCTTCTAAGCTTGCGAGCGGGCGGAATCCTCCAAATCCTGCAATCTGATTGGTTCCGAGAGTGGGCAGTTTTTTACGATCTTGCCTGCTAACCCAGGCGGAATCATGGCAGCTTTATTCACAAGTTTGTTTGTTGTTTGTGAATGAGCAAAACCGGTGATTTTTAACCATTTTTCTTTTAAAACTTGCGCTATTATTGGTGTTAGCTAGGGGAAAGTGAATTTTGTTATTCAGACAAAACATCTGAAGGGAAAATCAAGTAAGTGAGCCAGGAAAACCGCTAAAGTAAAGCAAAACAGGCGGCTCATGATATCGCTTCACTAGCTTTATAACTACGCTGTAAGTACTGCAATCCTGCTCTTATGCACCGTTTATTCAACATTTTTCTCTGTTTGTAGGTTTGGTTTCCATTTTTGCTGTCTGAATCTAGATTCTGCCGTTTTTCGTTGAATTTTGCCTCGCTAGTTTTCTACTTTTCAGAAAAGGTTGTTGTCAACGATTGCATGTAGCTTTCAAACTTGAATAAACAACACGAACAACTTTTCCAGCAATCAGTTATCGCCATTTTTATTTCTTTGTTTATATAATTGTTTAGTTACCCACATCGCATTCTTTTATTCAAATTCACTTCAAAACCCTACGATTGGTATGTGTAATTAGCTCTTTTTATAAAGCCTCTGTGCAGTTTTTATCCCACTCCATTGAATTAATCTTAAGGTAAATATTCAGCTGAAGAAAATCTTTGATGTATTTTCTTTCCTGTGGCTTTTAAGTTCGCCAATTCTTTTATCCTTGTTTGACACTCAGATTACGAATTGTCTACCAAGACACAAAAACCTTTCTTTATTCTAACGAGAGCTTAATTGTGACAATATAAACTACAAGTTAAAAATCATGTTGTAATGTTTTGTTTTGGTTTGCAATCGATCGCGTGCTTTGAATAACATCAACACGAACACGCCCTTCTTCAACACACATAGGTTGGAGGCTGAAGTAAAATTTTCCTGAAACTTTTAAATCTCAGTAGGAAAAAAATAAAAATGTTATTCACTGGCCTAGGTCGGTCCGTATTGGGAGAAACTGTGCCCTCAGTCTGAGTACCGCCCTCAGCCGGTACTCAAGACCTCGGGCACAGTTTCTCCCAATACGGACCTCCCAGCCGGTGAATAACATATATAAATTCAGGTTAAAATTTTTTAACCTAGGTTGATTCTCAATTTCCTTTGTCTCCTAGGTCTAATTCATGAATAATTAGGGCTAGGAAACAAAGAGAATCAAGCTACCGATAGGTTAAAAATTTTAACCCGAATTCAATTTTGACCTGTAACATACATGTTTAAAACTACCATTTCTAAACCAGATAACTTGGTGTAATATTAACTGTTAATAATTCAACACAATATTACAAAATGGCAATTATTCGCCATAAAATTTTTTTCTCCCATTACAAATGGGAAGTTTGTTAAAATGTAAATTGGATAATTCCCATTACTTTTTTTTCTAAATGACATTAACGGTTTTCTCATCTTGTTACATACCTCATAATCAATATTGCTTTCATATGAGGAATATCCCCTCTCCGGAAATTCCCCAAATCTAAATCCAGTTTCTAAGATCCTCTTGGCTGGAGCAATAAGTTTTGGTAAAGCCATTGTGATGCGAAGAAATGGAGCCTTTTTTTTTCCATTGTAGCCATAAATACTCTCTTTCATTTGACATTCCACAGCTAAGACAGGCTGAAAGACAGATGATTCCATTATTTTTCAATAATAATTATTATTATTATCATGGAAATACCTAAGGTCCAAGAAGCCCCATTTGCTTGAGAGCTAGTGCAAAAGCTTCACTATTGAGTTTATTCATGAAATAACAGTTTGACAATAACACTTGCTATCTTGCAACTCAATACAACAATGGGGTGCGAACCAGGAGACACAATGTAGGACAAACAGAGTTTTTCAGAATTTTCCTGCAAGTCTTCCTTTAATCTTTCCACACTTCTCCAACTTTCACTCTTAAGTTACACTCAAAACAATTGTTTCTTGTAAGAATCTTTACAATTTAGGTAGATTTTTGCCATAAATTGCTGTACAACATTAAGATTTTCAAATTTGCTGACATACTGCTCCCCACTTGAAGTATACAAAGTACATTCCCTCAAGCATGTAAAAGGACAAAATGATGTTCTCTGTTTTCTACTTTGGGTTGATTATTGCACAATTACATGCCTGCTTAATGCTGTGCATGATGCTACTGAAAGGCATAATTCTAACTTTATTAAAGTGTTGGACAGGAAAAAATTTGGATCACTGAAAATTTTGCATGAATTTTTATGTTGACTGTAAAGTGAGTGGTTATCACTACAGAACTCACATCAACAACATTGTCTTTGTTAGACCTCATATCATCTAACACAGCTCTGTTAAGTGCATCCTGAAAGCTTTTGCAGTGACTATGTTGAAATTCTTTAGGTGCTGGAACAAAGAAGTAGGGCACAAATCCATGGATGTGGCAAAGAACACTGTTTCCTTCCATTGTAACACCATACATTTGAACTATCGGTACCGGACCAGACATTGATCCAGGCATTCCTTTTAGGGGTTTACCTGAGAAGAAAGAATAATTTCACTTGATGGTACCAAAGCAACTCGAAAAATTAAGACAATTTCTCTGGAAGAATGCCTCCTATTTCCCTTACATAGACCAATTCTTTGACAAATTATTGTACACACAGCTTCTATGAACCAATACCTTCTGACAACGCTCTCATTAAAGGCTGGCAACTGGCTAAAAAAACTGGCTACTTTAAGGTCTGAGCTGTCTACTCTTGAGGGAAAATGGGTAAAGTAAGGGAGTGAAAGCCTCAAATTGTCTACAGCACTTGATTGCCAAGCTTTAATGAGAACCCTGCCTCAGATCAATGTATGTTCCCTCAAGGGTGGTCAGAATAAAGTCAAACCTATGTGTGCGGCCACCTCTCATACATTCTAGGTGAACACCTCCCTTACCACCTACCCAAAACACTAAAATTTTCCAATTCAAAGCCATACAGTTGGAACCTCTCATATACATGTACGACCACCTCCCGTAAGCAACCATAACTTTCCGTTATTTTTAACCCCTTGTAAGCCACCACTTGATGCATAAAGAGAAAAAAGCGAGAGGTGGGATTTCTAAAAGGACAGGAAGTGTGAAAAATGTAGGGAAATTACATAATAATGCTTAGTACTTATTTTGCAATAGGCCTTGTCATGGTTTTGGAAATCACCTTGACGAGGGCAACTGCATGAGAAATTACAGTGTTTGTATGACAATCTTATGTCAAATAATTTCCGTAAAATGGCCATTCTAAAAAAAAAGATGAATTAAAAATTAGAGCTACACAGCAAAGGATTTTACCAAAAAATTTTGGGGGCCATTACCGTGCTTAAATTTCTCCAGATGCTTGCTTTAGATTTTCCATATATTTGTCTGCAAATTTTTCCTGAGAAATTTTTTATTTACAAATGTATCTAGGAAATTTTAAAAAGTGCTTCTAGTGCATGTAGCTGCATGTAATGCCCTCAAATTCTTTCAGTACAATAATTAGGAGTGAGACTTTAGTTTACAATTCAGATTTTTTTTCAGAACAGCCGTTTTACAGAAATTATTCGACATTAGATTATCATACAAACGCAGTAATTTCTCATGCGGTTGCTGACTTGTCAAGATGGCTTCCAAAACCGTGATACGGCCTTTTGAAGAAGGGCTAAAGGAAACAAAAACAACAACAACAAAAAACAAGAGGCAGGAGCCGTGAATGCAACAATACCAGTCTTTACTGGCTGAAACACTTTCGGAAAACACAAGATAAACTGAGGGGTTCCATGAATATATGTGTTGCTTCCCTCTCCTTCCCTCAATGTTGGCTTCACAGGTTTGCTTGGGCATAAACTTCTTCAAAATCAACATTAAAGGGGAAGGGAAGACGAAATTCGCAAGTGTTTCAACAATAATCGTTGAAAATTGTTATTGTTATTGTGTTAATTGTCATAATAATTTATTGTTATTGTGACTGGGAATGTAGGTATGGGAGAAGGGGGGTTTCGGAGCCTTCTGTCTCACCCCCCCTCCCTATGACACACACACACATGGTTTTTACACCCACAATGCTTTATCAGATGTGATCACGATTCATTGCAACTAAAGATGCACTGAATTTAATGATAATCGGTTCATATTAAAATCTAGAATACTACTCGATGTTTGCAACGGTGGATCATGATCAGCACAGAGTTATAAATAGCGCTCGTCATTGATCTAAAAAATACATGAACGAAGTCAAAGCAAGTGTGTACAAACCGATATAATTATCGACTTCCAGCTGCTGAAACACGATGTCATCAGTCAAAGGATTTAGTTTAGGTACAGCAGGTCTTGACCATTTGGCAGAGGGATTTTTATCATTGACAAAATCGAGCGCTGCCAACTCTTCTTCAAATCCTCCACCTTTCCCGTCATCATTACGAGGACGTTTTGCAGAGCTGCTTGCATCTGGGCTTCCTTTACGTTTCTGAGTTCCATCCATGACGACTGAACGTTCTTTAAAGCCAGTTTGGCGCTGATAATGTAACTTTTTCTTGTCAACAAAGTGAGAGTGTGGGGGAAAATTAAAAATGGCGGGAATGAAGGTTCTGGGCGGCACATGCCGCTGACCACAAGTTTTTTTCTCTATGTTTCCTGGGGAGAGGAGGTGGGGGAACTGAAAAATGAAACGGCTTTAATTTTGACTAGTTTATTTTTCTGCCATTTGTTTGATGTTCCACTTTTATCATTTTCCTCTTTTCCGTAAGTTTTTCTTTTTTTTAAATAAAATTTACTGTACTGTATTTTTTTTTTTTATGGGCATGACTGGGGAGAAAGCTCCCGCCTAGTTCCCGCCAAAAATTGCCAAAAATCATAAGAGTGAGTTAGTTCCCAGCTTCCACGGAATCAAGAAACAACGCGGTCGTCTTGTGGAAAGGATTGCAGGCGAACTTGGATGACGACAAGAGGAGATTCCATTCCCTGTTTTTTAATTGCTTTGCAATTTGGAACGCACTATTCTACTGTCTTCGAAAAAAGAGCTGTCCCGAGGTTAGTAATGAGTAGACTGAGAAATGTCTTATGGGGAGCTACCATAAACTAGTTTGTTGAACCTATGTTTGTCATTGTTCCCGAATTTTGTTCCATGATATTTTTGGCCAAAAAAGCAAAACCCGCTCCGTAATGGACACTATCCATGGTGCCCTCAGTACTGCCTTAATGAAGCAGTGTCCTTACTAACGCAGTTCACTCTGTCACTGACATTGAGGCTTAAGAATAATGACCCCTTTGTTTGAAAACTGGTTCACATCCAAGCGGGGCAGGTGGGGGTTAGGGGGGGGGGGGGTTGGTACTCCAGATTCCAAGTGACGGGAATGATAGAATGGGGGCAAAAATCAAAACCCGATCAAAAATTAACCCCCAAAAAATCCATAAATAAATAAAATTTCCAGAAAGTATCATAATAATGTACAACGTTGTTCTTTATTTGGTTGTACTTCATTTGTAGAACTCTGTGGCTGGGATACGCAGGCACTATCACAAATCTTCAGATTCTAAAGACCCCAAAAAATTCCTACTTAAATCAAGCCACCTAAAAAAATACCTGCCAAATTTTCCTATGCGAAAAATTCCTGGAATCAAAAATTTCAAACCAAAAAAAATTCTTCGAAGATCTCCGTCACTTGAAATCCGAAGTGCCCCCCTGGGGTTCACATTAATACTCTCCCCCTTTACCCCTCACTTATGCATCAGTTTATTCCAGTGGTGCCCATGCACCCCCGCCCCTGGCCCCCCGTACATTAGCACTTTTTGTCTTGGATTGAAAATTCTATGGGGCGTGGATACTTCAGCTGCCAAATGCATGCCTCGTGTTTGGGATGAAAAAGAAAGCGAATGCCTCGTTCCCAATCGACACTGCAGCAGTTTGCATTCCTCTCACAGTGTAGAGAAGTGCTACTTTAAGGGTTTTAATGTGTGATTTATTTAGAATGTCTTCCTTTCTGTCTTTGGATTTATTGTTTGTAATGACTGTAATAACACTATCCATATTATAATTATTATAACTAAAACTTCATGTGCAATGTTTAGCACCACCTCAAGAATCTTAAATATATGATAATAAATCATAGTGGTATTACAGAATCATCACCACAAAATTCCATTCAAATCCTTGATAAACAGAAATTTGATTAAATAACCAAAGAAAAATGTTGATTCACGTTGATATGTAGCTTCTGATAATTTTGTTATGTTAATTCTGGTAATTGATAGGCAATAAAGAAATGTATGCATAAGATCAAGAAAACATGTCTTTAATAACCTCTACAAGTTTTTCCCGTCCTTGACAGACGAGCCCATTTTTTTCCAGAATAATTCATACATACATACTTTCACTGTTTCGTCCCTAAAGAGGCTTTTCAGGAACAATCATTATTTACAAGCATTACTAAATCTGCTTTTGTTTCCCACAATATCCTCCAAAATCCTGTTTGGATTTTGGCTTGGAAAGCACACGTCTATGCAGTTTAATAAGCTTGAGGATGGCCCTGGGTTTGACAACAATGCCATACTCACTGACTGACAAGGTGCACAAATTCCCTGCTGTTTCGCAGGGGTATGGAGGGCAGCTGGAATTGACTAATAAAACTGGACAAGCACCACAAATAATAGATGATTCAATGTGATAATTTTTTTTTTATTGTTGCAAATGCAATTTTTAAAATATGTATTCATGGTATTAAACCATTGTTGAAATTTTATATTTTGCCCATCGTATTAAAAGTATGTCATTTTATATGTACATTGAAGTTGTTAAGATCTTTTTCAAACACCTCTTAGCATCAGACACAAAGCGGAAAAAAGGTAAAATGAAATTATAGTTTTCACTTTCTTTGGCTTTCTGGTATCTTGTATTTTATTTGTAGTTACCATAAATAATTTCTTCTTTTTTTCAGTTTTACATAAATAAGCATTCTGAACTGACAATGTGTCAGCATGAAACAGAGATATTGTTGCATCTCTCCTAGTTAATGTTACATCTCCCATAGCATTCAATATGTCATTTGAAGCCCTGAAAACTAACAACACAAAATGCACTGTGAAAACATCGGTTTATAAAGTTAAATGTTTTCCATTAAATTCTCCATCTGAATAGCTGAAATACTGTCTTTAACTTGAGATTTTAAAATTATTTTAAGGGCATTAAAATAGTAGCCATTCTTAAGACTTGTTCTTTGGTTTATGAAATTGCCAAAATGTACTTTTTAAATAAATGGGAAACAATATCAGAATAGGCCTAAGACATGAAAATATATTTCAGTAATATAAAATGATGTTATTGTTATTGAAATTTAGTATGGTGGAAGTCGAATCAATTGCTTTGGTCAGCAATAACTCAGAAATACACAGGATTATCTCAGTGTATTGACCTCAAACTTGAACAAACAAGTTGTATAAATAATATTGTTATACACTTACTTTTTTACACTCTCTAGATTATCAAGAATTATAAACACATCTGTTAAACAGATATTTTACTGAGAGAAAATAAATGCATACTCTTCATTACTGTTGGCTTCTGCAATGTCAGTGTCAACTAGATCTACACGTACAGGTTTACAACATGGGGTGTGGTCTGCGGGGCCATCCCCCTTTTCAAAGAGGTCCTCTGTGATGTGAGCGCTTGTTAAGTCATCGTCATTCTCCAAACACATGAAGCTTCCTGCCACACACTCTTGGAGACACTCTTGCAATTGAAAACGCACAAGGTCATTGTTTAACAAAACCCTGGCATCATTGGTGCAATCTTGATTCACTCCAATGTCTTGTGCATCATTCTCAGTACTACAACCATTTTCATACTTGTCAGTACTTTGAGGTGCTGGAATCGCTTGAATGCAGTCATATGTTGACTTAACTGATTTTGAACCTTCTCCTGAAAAAAAAAAAAATGATTGAAGTTTGCCACAAAAAACTGAGGTTGATTTGACCCAAGAGCTGATTCAGGATTGACAAACTGATCTGAAGTGTCAGGAAAATCCCAGATGACCTGAGTTTTTTTCTGTTTTTTGACAATCACACATTTTTCCAACCAATGAAAACTTAACATCACAGACATCTCCTGTCACCTGACATGGTCAGGGACAAATCAGGAGAGAGGAGTGTTTCTGTTTTCCCAACACATCCCAGATGGTTGGCATTACTGTCAGGGAGGTCCCGGGATTGACGGGCAAATTAACCAATACAGATAATGCCATAACATACCAAAATAATATAATACTCTTTGTTTGTCACCCCAAATTTTTGCATAAGCACTGTCTTCAGTTTCTCCTGGGAGTTAAAATGGCCCCAAGAGAAACTGAAAAAAAAAACTTCAACAATCAAAATGGACAATTGGGAAACAGTGAGATTCCCGGTTGTCCAGGATTTTCCCAACATACGAATACCAGCATAAAAGTGCATTTAGTTTCAAGACCATTTTCATTTCATTTACCTTTTAGTGAAGTCTCAGTGATGGCAAATCTGGATGTTCTCCTAATAAAGGTATACAAAAAATTATAACTAATTAGCCTTTGACTCTAACTACTTTGAAGGAGGGACTAATCAAAATACAGTATGTTTGAACAAAATTTTACACTTATATTTTAATGAAAATCAAAGGCTTGTACTGATAGAACCGGGCATCCAAGTGCAATAATATTACTCTCTGGCCATTGACTGCACTAGATTGTTATACAATGTACATACCAATGTTCTACTTCATGCTTGTCTCTGTATGTATGCATCATCATGTTGAGTACTGACAGCACTTTGTCAAGATGGGCATTTCTTGTCTTTCCTTCCATTTTGGCTAGCAACTCTAAAAATCTAAGGGACATTTACTAATTAATTTATTTATTTATTTTGCCACTATCACAGGGAACATTACCTGCCTCAGGAAACTTTAATATTCGAGGGAACAGAAACATTGATTTCTTTGGGGGTCTTTCAAGCAATAAATTTCATTACTAATTCAATTTGTATCCAGAAACTCATTAAACATGAATTTATTAAGTGACCAATGTAGATACTTTTATACACTAGCGATAAGCATCTGAAAATCTGATACAAAACTCTTATCATATTCTGTATTAATTATTTTTGAAACAAAAAAATACCATAGTTTAATTGTATTATAATCTCTGTATGGATTCTCTAAGAATTTTTAATTGGTATTACAAAAAAAAAATTGTAGATTGAGGTAGGTTACTCTGATTTCCTTGTGTGGAGAATCTGGAAGAAAGGTGTAGCAATAAAATGAAACAATTACTATTTCAATATACTGTATAAAAAATCGGATCTTGTTTACTGTGGGTAATGTCGAGCGAGATATCAGTCGATATAGCGGTCGATATAGCGGTCGACACTTGGTCGATAGTCGGTCGACAGTCGGTCGACAGTCGGTCGACACTCGGTCGACACTCGGTCGATAGTCGGTCGACACTCGGTCGATAGTGGGTCGACACTCGGTCGAGACACGGCCGATAGTCGTTCCAGATGTGTCTCGGCCGATATAGCTTTTCGTTCACCGACACTTCGCCGACTTTTCGCCGACACTTCGCCGATCCTTGGTCGATAGTTGGTCGATACTTGACCGATGTGTCGGTCAGTAATTGGTCGACACTCGGTCAATGGTCGGTCGACACTTAGCATTTCCTACATTTTCCTACATATTTGCGGGACCACAGGAGCAGCAGATTCAACTTAGGCTGAGACAGGTTCTGTTTAACAGCTAAAACTCAGACGATCGGTGATGATACAAACTGGAAAAAAAAAGGTTATTATGTCCTTAGTTCCCAGTGCTCTTCGGTTCTCTTCATAGCGTAATCGCGCCTTGCACTGCCACATGTTCCCCATCGCATGATAACAGTAATTAATGACGTCTTTGCTTAAAGAAAAAGCCATTGGACTCACCTGATAAATTAACACACGACTAATATTCGAACGACAGTTGACCGATATACCACCGACAGTTGACCGATATACCACCGACAGTTGACTGATATACCACCGACAGTTGACCGATATATCACCGACATATGACCGATAGTAAGTCGAGATGCGTCGACGAAATATCGACCGATACTCGGCCGATAGTCTATTTCACTATCGACCGACTATCGACCGACCATCGACCGACTATCGACCGACTATCGACGAACTATCGACCGACTATCAACCGACCATCGACCGACTATCGACCGACTATCGACGAACTATCGACCGACTATCGACCGACTGTCGACCGACTATCGACCGACTGTCGACCGCTATATCGACCGCTATGTCGACCGATATCTCAGTCGACATTACCCACAGTAAACAAGATCCAAAAAATCTATTTAAACAAAAAAATCATGTTTAGTAAATGCGATAAAATAATTCACAACAGCTGGATAATTTTTCCAAACTCTTTATGCCTCAGAGTACAATATTTTACACACTCCTCTGTGAGTCACACACAACTAGCAATAATTATTGTTGTACTGTCAGAAGGGAAATAATAAACACTTAATGACTGGTCCTGAGGGAAACAATTAATTTTGTTTCTTGAAAATCTCAGTGTTTCCCGAGGCAGAGCCGAACTGTGAACTGTAACCCTCTTAATGTTGTTGATTTTGCAATGTTGCCCACTCAGAGATATTAGCAGGAAACAGTTTCATTGTTAAATGTCATGTGACCTTGAAGTAACCAAAGAGAGTGCAAGCTGTTGGGAAAAAATTTCCAGCTATATAACCATAGGCCACTTCTGAGTTCCAAAAACCCTCACTTTAAAAATGAGGCCAAGTGCACAACCTTTCTTGTGCAAATGAATTTTATTTGCTTGAGAATGAAAAATCATTTCCATATCAGAGGATGAGCACTTAACCTCGTTTTGATAGAGAGGCCTGGGGGAACTTTGAAGTGGTCAGCTATTATACTTACATCTTTAACATGGTTAAGAATTGCTGAACCGTGATGACACAAGGTTTTGAAAGGACCTTAACAAGGTGAATTGATCTACGAATCACAATGCATGACCAAAGTTCCCTTTCTTTTAATGCGTTGTTCCTTGCTTCACAGAGTACTGTAGGGGATTAAGACAGTGAAACAATACAATAATAATAATAGTAATAATAATAATAATTTAATATTAATATTTCTAACATATTGCCAGTAATTAGGAGTGCATGCATGCTGTTGGTTCCAGTCCATCTGGGAGTACAATTTTTTCCTTATGTCCTGCACTCACTTTCAGAATATGTGTCTTTCTCAGTAGCTACCCTATTTTGCTTTAGCACTTGTTATAGATTTATTTTTAATGGCCAAGACCTGAACCGAAAACTTATAACCCTGAACATAATCATGTAAAAGACCTTTTTAGCTTGTATGTTTTGTTTTTCCAATATTCAGACCAGGTGATGTTGTCCAGGAAATTTGCCTTTTGTCTTTTCATAAATTAAGCATACAAGTGCAGCCATGTGGATAAGATGATATTTGAAAGAAACAGTTCTCTGGGGTACCATCACGTGGTCTGAAATAGTAAAACAAAACATACAAGCTAAAAAGGCCTGTTACTTAATGAATCAAAATTGGATGTCCACATAGCAGGAGCCTTTTATAAATACCATATGTCAGTCCCATTACTAATTTTTATAAAAATTAATTATGTGGTTGGCCATAAATTTAAGCTTCCAATAGCAGCAGCCTGACAGATATGGAAGGCTGAGCTTGTGATGTCAGCTCATAACATTCTTTGTTATTTAGCAGTGCATCAATTAGACATGGCTTTAAAAGTTTATGCAGTTCCAAATGTCTTTGATCATAATTATGTTAAATATACCTCTGGATAGTTTTGATTCTCCCTCTTCTACTTCTTCTGTGGGAGAAGAGACTTGTTCTCTAAGTCCATTTCCACAGAATGAACAGACCAGTGCTTCTTGTGAACCCATTGTGCCACTAGAGCCATGCCCACAGCATGTGCAATGGCCAAAGGATGAGCTGAGTTTGGTTGGTGGGAGACTTAAGGATGTGGAGGGAGACCTTAATGTCACCTTTGTTAATGTATCAGGATCTGAAAGTGACAGCAGTTTATTCTTTACTACCATAATACAACTCTTTGCCCAACTGCTGAGTAAGCGCTCTTGACTAAGGGAGGCCAGGGGGAGGGGGCAGTCAAGAGAGTTTGTTCAGAGGCTACATCCCATCAATTTCGCCATCCTTTCACCGAGTTTTTCTCCCGCTTCTGCTTCCAACTTTGAAAATCTGGTTTTCACCAGATCATAAGTGACAGATCATAAGTGTAGTCGGAAGAAAATGGAAATGTTCTGTTTCTTCTGACTTTGATTCTGTCAAGTGTAGACTTTGCTTATGACTCCAATTATTTATTTTTGCTACGTTATAAATGCTGTTAGGACTCTGCTTACCACTCCAGTACAGATTAAAACCAGCCTTAATCAGTTTAAACGGGGGCTTGTGTCTGACCTTTTCATCCTCCTCTGTCATGCATTTTCTAGGGGATAAATCTTGTTACCCTAAACTCTCTGTGCTTATGGTGTACTTGAACATGACTATATTACAGAATTATTGAAATCCCCTTATATCCTCCCAGAAGGAGCCCACTTAAGAAATCATTGCATCATAACATAATAAATTTGATACTCCCATACAATTCCTCTAAATTCAAGCATTAGTCTTTTAGAGGAGGCACAATTTGTGTGGGCAACCTGTGGCCAAAAGGAGGCTCTGCTCACTGGGGGATCCAAAACTATAAACAGACTTACAATGCTCCTTAAGAAATCTCAATGTGTCTCTGTATCCTTGCCGACAAATATCACTCATCGCATCTTCATGGGGTGGAAACAGTGCGCAAGAAAACCGGTAGAAATTGTGCAGAGTGAACTGCATGCTGGTGTTCTTTAATTCAATGTGAACATCATTTGATGAAGTGTCTCGTGGACAGATATCACTTTCACCACTAAATGGTGACACTGTGATGGTTTCTCCTTCCTTGAAGTGCTGCGGAAGGTTGTCAGAAATTGCACCATCCACGTAGTACTATATGTTAAGAAACAATAATACAAAATTATTTTGTTCTCTGACTTCCGTAGACTGTCCTGTTCCCCTTGGCGTAGTACTACCTAAAAATTATTACATTAATGGTGTGCCACTGAGTCTTTGAGACTCTGGACTGGTTCTGGACAAAAAGGGATGAAATAAAAAATATTGTGACCCAGCTTCAGAAAATAGTTGTAAAAATAGGAATCCTTTTTCAGTCAATAAGCAAAAAATATTTACATATTATGGCTTACCCAAGAATATCCCTCACTTAGACTGTCAACGATATGAGTGTAGCTTTGCACTAAAGCTTGATCAAGAATATTCAGGGACTTGGGGAAAATCAACTCTGTTACAGAGTCAAACTGAAGCAAAATATACCCCTCTTCCAGCGATACATGTGCATCCCTGTTGTTGAAGCCCCACATACCCATATAGCCCCTGTGTGAGAGTGGGAGTACCCTCCACCCCCCACCCCTGGCTATTCCAGTCTAAACAGCTTGAAAAAACCAAAAAAGCACACTCTTTAATTCAGAGCTGAACATACCCCCAGCCCAGTCTACAATGCTGTCATTGGTTGTCTTTTGATGTAATATCATTTTATTTTTTATTTTTATACTTTCTTTGTATAGATAGATTGAGAAAAAAAGAGAGTTTACCTTTCCCCTGAACACTGCTGGTAAAATTCCAGAATATAATGGTACGAAGGAGGTTGCTACTAATGCCTGTTCGATTGAAAATATAAATATGAGACTAATAAGGTCACCATAATTATTTTGAATCATGCTAACATGGTTAAACAAAGTTTCACTGTAATTATGCTGAACGGGAATATCAGGAATGTAAATCTTTTCTACGTACCGGTAATGAATAAATAGAATTAAAAATTACTTTATACTAGAAGCGATAACAAACTTCCAAAGCAAAAATTTCAGACTATTATTTCAGTTTGTTTTTGGCGTGCCTTTGCGCAGTTTGTAAAATGTTATGAACACAAAATTTTTTTAGCTACGGAGCTGCCTTGGTGCTGTACTGCATGTTTACTGTCGCTGTAGATTTCCGAAAATTAACATTTTTAGAACAGCAGGTGTCAAAAAACAGGCTGATACGAAATTTATTTTGTATATTTGAACTAATTTTTTCCGTTTGCTTAAAATACATTCGTACTTACCTCGATGAGATCCTCCTTTGAGAAGAATTTAGATACGATGACATTTTGCAAATCAGGAACTCGTGTGAGTGAAATGTGCACCTTTCCGCTCGCTATTTCATGAGCGTTGTCAGGTAGCATTTTTTCAAAAGCTCTTCGCACTGTTTTCACGATCTGGAAACTTGGATGCAGCGGTCCCAGTGAGAAAGATTTTGCTCTTTTGCTGAGTCTAATCACAGATTCGGTAACTTCGCTAATGTCTAGATCTACGACTAGGCCTATCGCGGCAAAGGCGCCGGCACTTGCTCCACCGAAACATTTGACGCGCTTCAAAAAATCAACTGCGTTTTCTTTCAGACATGCCATCACTCCGATGTGGTAGATTCCCAAAAATCCACAACCTGAAAAAGTAAGATTTAAATCTTGAGTATCCTCCATCGCTAGGACCGCGTTTGTTTATTCTGCAGGTCTGCTGATCGAAGATCCGGCCCAAAATCTTTTTTCACGGTTTTTGTATGAAGAAATGGATTTTTTTGCATAAATGCAGCTAAACCATGATTCATCATGGCACTGGTCCATGTGAGGGTCTTCATTCGTTACAAAATTCAGAAAATTGTCAGCCCATTAAATCGAATGTGACGTCAGAACTCTCTCAGTGACAAACAAACAAACTGTCGAACAAGTGATATGACCATCGCCTCCGGGTCCGCCCCCGGTTAACCTTCAAGTCACCTTGGATAACCTTCGTGTTCTGTGCGCACACAAAAGACGACGTGAAAAGTATACATTAAATTTTGAAATTTTACAAGCAGGAACAGTCTAAAACTTTACGCAGTTTTAATAATCCTAAAAGGTTTCGAGAATTTCTCAACGTAGGTGCCTTGTATGGAATAAGAGAAACACAGGTACACAACAGGAGCCCCTGATACACAATAATTTTGATGAAAAAAAAAGGAAAACATTTGGATCTGTTGATTTTTTTAAAAATGTTTTGGCCTTACTTATCTGATGTAGTCCTAGATGAACTAGAGAAGAGCTTGTCTGCTGCCTCAAGAATAGTAAACAGCCGGGCTGGGTTGAGATAACCCAGGTTTAGTGCAAAATTTGAATTCAGATATGAAAGCTTAAAAAGCAGATTCAGTCTAATTCTTTTTATCTAAACTTTGGTGATTGGATGCTCTAAAAAAATTGAGAAAATTATCCGAGAAAATACTCTTAAACGAACGAAAAAGAAACCTGGATTAAAATTTAACCCAGGATTAGCACTAAACAGCCTTCGAACAACTGGGCCCTTGGCCTCTAACAACCACTTTCATCATCATTATTATTACTGTTATTACCCCGCTACATTGAGGAATATATGACAATCTTCATGGAGGTGATACATGATTCATGCACCAGGTGCACATTTACACCACAGTGCTTAAAAAATGTAAAAGTTTAAAAGGTTGAAAATTGTCCACATTGATACCAGTTGTATCACCAGAAATAAAGATTTTGTGACACTCAGACAACGTGTACATGTATGGTGAAGGAGCGGCCACGCACCCACCCACAAACACGTCACCCCCAGTTTCTTTTGTGCCAAGGTGTAGCACCTCACCCCTGTTATTCAAAAATACAGTCAGTCTTCTCTTAATTGACACCTCTTCTAGGAGTACTTTCCTGGCTGGCCGAGCTCAATGTAAACAGTCACAACCTAAAGTAATATGAAAGAAGCATGCAAGGGCAAAGTGAAAGTGTTGCAGTAAAATTCAACTTTTATTCTTCTGACTCAAATTAATGACAATAATTTAATTAAAATTACTTTAAAAACCTCATATCACTGACAGTTCAGTGCTATCTTTACACTATACATTAAATCTACTTCATTGTCCATTTTGTAAAAAAATTTCTTTGTATGTTTTCAAAAAATACAATGTAAATACTGTTTTTACCAGTATTATTTGTACCACTCTTAAAGGTACCTGAGATTATGTACATTAATCTTTATATACACAAGTGTTACACCTGATTTGTTTCTGTGTGATAACAATTTTTACAAACACACACCAAAATTTACTTTCAACCACTGCTTTTCAAAGCTAAAAACTAGCCCCTTCAATAAGACTAGCATACATTCATAAATGGCTCTACAACTTGTAACTTTTATAGACCATGTAGGAGTCAAACTGGTAAAATTAACACAGACTAACAGTTCCATCTAGTTCTACCTTGACCAAATGCAGAACTGGTGAAATATCATCATATTATAATTTTAATGAAGTTGTAAGTATCTTGTATTAGGTAGATCAAATTACTCCTAATTACGTGCAGCCCATACAACTTAAACAGCTGTTTTCTTCTACAGGGGAGTTCAAGGTGTCACCTACCCTTATGAATTTAAGTTGGATTTTTACATACAATGAACTTGATTAAATTCATGCCTGCATGGATTTCACTTTGAAATTCAATCTGCTAATTTTCTCGAAATGAGCAATTTCCACCTTGCCCCAAGCCTCTCTCTCAAATCATGGGGTTAAGAGCAAAGTCTTGTACCAAAAAAATAAAAAAATAGCACAAACTGTTTTGCACTTAAGCCTCATTTTGAAAGTGAGGGGTTCTGAAACTCAGAAAAGACCTATTTGATATAATTCATCGAAAACAACCGAACAAACAAAACATAAAATTATATCATAAATAAATTATAAATTCATTGTATTAACAAAGTCAACTTCCTTCTCGTTTCAGCCATTCTCTTGACCAATGTTGGGTCTGAAGGATGTAGTGTGTCTTGACTTTTCACTCTCCTATTTACAATAGTTTCGGTGAGCTTGCACACCACAAGTACCTGGAACATCTAACAGTACCCATGTAGTACAATAAATTACTTTCCAGATGTTGTTGATTGTTTGTTCTTCTATTCAAGCATGAAGCCATCCCAGTAGATCAGTGAAAATCGTCATGGTCCCAACCTCATCTTCCGCAGTTTGTCTGTGCACGTTTTTGAGTCATGACTGAGATCTCGAGAAATTTGGAACAGTCATAAACAAGCAGCATAGCTACCATAGACTCATTCATTAGAGGCTTTGCTGCAGTTCCTCGTAATTACTTAATTCAGAGTCCACATCAGTCTCATACCCATCCAAAACAACATAATCATCGACAGGTGAAAGGACCTTGCTGCATGCACCACCTTCATCTTCCCATCTCCCTAAAGACTCACTGACAAGGCTAATAAATCCATCATCAGATTCTCCTTCGGCAATGATGTCACCCTGCAGTTTCATGGCACGTTCCAATAAGATCTGAGTGGCATCATCAAACGACATACTGAAGCTGCCCACAAGCACTTCAATATCGCTATCCTCATCCGAGGTCAAGGTTGCAATAGCATGGGTGGATCTTTCATTAAATGCCTGTAACGCCTGAGGGTAGCCTGCAGGGCATCCAGCATAACCACTAGAAGGTGTGGATTCCTCTGCAGTGCTAACACCTGACCCATCTATGAAAGAAACAAATAAGCTGGAGTTAGAAAGTGAGCATTTTACCAGCATCTATTAGCACATAAGATGCCTGGAATAATTTAGGCGAAATAATAAAACGACCAATGCAAAATCCTTACAAATAACCAAATTGAGATCTGTGTTTCTATTAAATTAAGTTTATCTATATTTATTTGCAAGATTGAACTGTTAAACATCACACCTTCATGTTGTGGTCCAGGTAACATGGCTGCTCCAGATGGTTTCCTGTGAAAACAATAATAATAATAATAAAATTTAGTGATCAGCCCTGTCAGAATGCATACAGTATGCAAAAAAGTAGTACTCATATGTTGAGCTAGACAATCTAAAAGTCAGGGAGTCATGCAAGCAGTTTTTTAACATAAGAAATTGAAGAAAAAGAAGTTGACAGTCAAGCCCACTGATAATAAAATGGTTGCCAACTTCAAAAGCAGTATGATGTTTTTTGTTTCAATGCCAGTTCAATCACTTATGTTTCAACAAGATATATATACTGATTGTTTTTCAAAGATCTGTTAGCTAACTAGCCCAGGGTAGCTTGATCCCATAAATTCAACAGAAAATTTGTCTTTCTATTATTTTTTTGTATTTGTATTTTATTTGCCACACATAGGACAATTACAATTACAAAAAGATACCAAAAAAGGAAGGAGGAAATGGCAAGGAGGTCTAAAGAAAACTATAAAGCTTATGTTCATAATATTATTAGGCCTCCTCAATTACAATATTATTTTTCAAAGACAACATAAAAATTACGGCGACGGATACAAAATATTATTAGATGGAAAATTATAATAACAATCAATCAGTCAAGGAAGTTTACAACTGTTGAAAATTAAACAGCTTTTTCCCAAAATTTTTGTTATGGTATACTAATAATAATAAATGCCTTAATATTGCTCTCTTAAAGGAAAAAAAATATTGTATAATTATGTACTATGTATAATTTTTTTATCTGCTCAATCAATAATTGCTTACTCGCATGGTCCCTTAAAATTCTAATACTACACTGTATTTAAAGTAAACAACTGTTAGAACATCACATTTATAGACTACATACCAGCAATGTACATGTACTTGATGTTTGTCTTGATAAGTGTGTATCACCATGTAAATCATAGCCAACAAATCATCAAGAAATTGGTTTCCTGTCTTCTCCACTTTAGGGAGTGATTCTACAATACTAATAATTATAAAAAGACAATTTTTATTGGTTTTTGTTTCAATCACCTTTCCTGGAAATTAATTCACTGTTTTCAAACATCAAGAATGAAGCCTTACATGTGAGCGAGATGAGATATCTGCTTCAGAGAAATAACACATGGTTTCGCAGCCAACTTAAACACCCAGAAAACTCTGCGGATGAAGTAACAGGACCAAAGTTCTGCTTCATTTATTGCTTCACTGGTATGATGGAGTACTGCAACAAGTTATATAAAACAGGAGTCAACATTAATATTTTTTCAATTTTCATTTACTGCTCATGATTTGATCCCGTAGTATAGTACTTAACTGTTAATGTTCTGAAAATCAGGGATTGTTGATATCTATAATACGATCTGTGTGTGTGTAAACAGTGGCATAAATTGACCCATTTTTATGGTCATGTAAATGTTACGATGTTTCATGACGCCATTATCAAGGAATAGAAAAAAATAAACATGTGAGTTCAAAAGGAGCTGAGGTACATGTACTCTAAATTTGCATGAATGAAAACAGCTGAACTAAGACCTTAGCATGGATTGAATCCGTTTGCACGTTCAAAGGCAGTCTTAATTGTTTGATGTAAAGTATCTCATTAACAAGGCAGTCAAATTTGTTCTTGCATTTTTTTCAGCACTCCAAAGCAGCTGAAAAGGTCCTCAGGGACAGCACCTGCATGGTTTCATCATAGTATTTGCGCATGGAAGATGATTTACTTTTGTGGCCAACTCCTTTTGAACTCGCGTTTTCATTTTTTTTATTCCTTGATAATGGCGGCATGATGTCGCATGTTACGTGTTTATGTTTCTCAAAATTGTTATAAATTATAAGTTTTATGGTGATCACTAATATGCAGCATATCAACTTTCTGAACAATGGGGCCTGCAGGTTGTTCAAAATTGGATAGCACTTTCCCCAGATAAAGAAACAATCTGGCAGGTACGTATTATGTCAGAAAACTAATTACGCTATCCAGTGGATAGCATTATCCACCTATTGAATAACTGGCTGAGGAGCCATGGCCACATTGTAATCAGTTATAATTGAAACTCTGACTCAATATTAAGAAAAGAAAATTGTGATAGTTGTACATAATATATGAAGGAAACGTAATGACAATAATTAAAAAAAAAAAACATTCAATGCATCATAGCTTTTAAGGTTTAGGTGAAAAGAGAAACTTGCAATTATTACACTGTACACCAAAGATCACCCACATGAGGCCACAGGTAAACCAAGTTTTAGTAGCAGAAAGCAAGGTTGTATAAAACAAATCAGTGGTCTTCAATTTTCTTTGATTGACAAGAGCAATTATTGGTTTTGGCTTTACGATTAACTCAAGAACCTCATAAACCTAAGCCCCTACAGACACACTTACTAAGAGTAAGCTTGGATTCTCCCTCCTCTTCAATAATTTCTGTTTCATTTTCCTCACTCTCTGAACTGCTGCTACTAAAGACTTCTCCTTCACCACTACTGCATGTGCTGTATGCCGACATGGAGCTGCTGCTGTAGTTATGGCATCTTCCTGACTTTGACCACGATGTAGGAAGGTACTGTGACATGGATGGCTTGCGGACAATACCATCCTTCAACATATCAGGATCTGAGAAACAATTTATAGAAAACCTTACTGACTATACCCTACAAGAATTTGACATAGCATGAGGCTCCATGTAATTAAAAAACAGTGATAAAACTATTGTAGAATGCATTTCTTCAACAAATAATTTATTAATTACAAAACTTTATTGCACTGCAATTATTAAATTAATTAATATTTTTCTTAATTATTAACAAATTTAAAATACCTAGTAAAGTTTTCAGGCTGAACTATTCCTTTTTTCACATTTTACATGTACTGGTATTAATAACATTCTATGCTGGTGTAAAATACATCATGCATGAATTTCCTTTTGTTATGTAAATATGGGGGGGGGGGGGGGGCAGAGGGAAATTTTCTGTTGATTTGGTTTTCTTTAATTTTGCTTTTGTCCCTTACACTTTCTTCATCCTGTAATTTTAAGGTAAATAATCGGGAAGTAAGTCACTTGTATGTGATATAATTCTTTTTTGCTTGTCTGATGATAAATTTATAATCAGACAAACAAAAAAGGACTTTATCAAATAAAAATGAGTTTAAGTTTTAATGTTATAATAGTAAAATATATTTTCCATTCTATGCCTACATTATTGTAATGTTTTTATTTTAACCATGCCTGTTAAAAAAAGATTATTGATGGTCACTATATGTAAATAAATACTATCATAAATATTAAAACAGCACTTACAATGCTCCTTCAAAAACCTCAATGTGTCTCGGTATCCATGCTTGCACATATCAAACAGCGCTTCTTGCTTAGGAGGAAAGAATGCACGAGAACACCGGTAGAGATTCTGAAGGGTAAACTGCATGCTTGTGTTATGAAAATCAATATGAGCATCATTTGATGAACCGTCTTTTGGACAAATGTCACTTTCACCACTAAATGGTGACACTGTGATGGTTTCTCCTTCCTTGAAATGCTGTGGAAGGTTGTCAGAAATCCCACCATCCACGTAATACTAAAAAAACAATACAATAAAACTATGAGTGATTATTGCAATAATAAGTTTGAGTACTGCAGCCTTACAACTTGACATAATACATAAGAGGCTTGTTAATAAGACTCCACCTTTTAACCCAATTTAATCTACACCCTGCCACTAATAACCTTTAATCTTGAACATACATTTTTATTAATGTTACATATTTAAGTAGATAAATTTCCAGATTCAAACAATGAAAAAGACATACCCTTCCCCTGAATCTTGCAGGAAGAATACCAGAATAGAATGGCACATAGGAACTTGCAAGTAATGCCTGAAAAAAAGTAATAATAAAGAAAAAAAAACATTTATGAAGAACCTGCTCTTTCAGAAGGTCAGCTTGTAACTAGCATGGTGTAAGGGGGGGAAGTATTCTGAAAATTGGTGGGGTGGGGGATGGGGTTAGGTGGGGGGGGGTGTATTCAGGCTGACAGTACCTCCACTGTACTAAACCAGCTCTAAGATGGAATAAGCTTTTTTTAACACATTTTTTTCCTGCCTTTATAGCTTGCATGCATATATTCCTCTCTGTGTTGGGAAAGGTCGGAGGAAGTAACTGCTCTGCTGAGCTTACGGCATCTTCAAAGTATACCCAGGTCATCAAGCTAAATGTAGAGGTGAGAATTGATAGAAGCCACCAGCTGTTTAAGGAACTTAGTGCATTCTGAATATGGCCACATGTAAAAATAGTGATTTTATTATGAAGTTTCAGATGCCTAAACAAAGTCTTATGCAAATACAAAAAATGGTATTCTATGGGAGATGCAGACATTCTTGAATATGATACGTCTAGATGTATCTTATATCACAGTGATAACAAGATGAGAATCTGCATGGTTTAATTTTGCGGAAATATTAGAAATCATGACGAGGCAACAACACAGAACTGGCTGCAGAAAAAAAATCAAATGGCAAACATATTTTAAATTTACAAAAATCCTTATGCTTCTTTTCAAAAATCATAATCTGGCCATCGGGAAAACGGAATGAACATCAACAAAAACACTGCAACTTAGGCAAACGAAACTTAAGTAGACACCCCGCAAAGTGAATTGCGTATGGCCTTAAGGCAACAATGAACATTGACTGTAAATGATATGCACGCTATATAATTTTTTCGTACAAATAACACATGTCCGCTCCGTCTCAGCTAACAACATTCCAAATAAATATTTCTCAGAAGGAGAAGGAAGATACTAAAAACTGTAATACGATAAATAGTGGTCAACGCTTCGTTTTGAATGCCAACGCGCAAGTTTTGCAATGCATCGCTGATAACAACTGCCTGCATACCAAATGACCACGCGACCACATCCTATATCCTTCTTCAAACTTTCCTATTATGTAATGTTTGAGCTTGTGTAGCTGTATACACTTGTATCTCGGTTCTAACATATTAAACCTAAGCAAAAACCTTTCTATTTATGAGTAAATTATAAAAAAACATTGCCTACAAGCACAATCTAAGAAATTGTGGTCTCGAACACGTTATCTGTTCATTAGCATAAGTTATATTTTTGCGTAATATGTTATATCGTCATCGTTTGAAATTAAACTTAAAACTTACCTCGACTAAGTCTTCTTTAGAGAAGAATTCTGACACAATAACGTTTTTCAGGTCTGATACTCGCGTTAGCGAAATGTGAAGCCTTCCGCTAGCCAGTTCATGAGCATTTTCGGGCAGAATTCTTTCGAAGGATCTTCGGAGCGTCCGGACGACATTAAAACTTGGGTGAAGCGGTCCCAGTGTTAAAGAATGCGCTCTTTTGGCGAGCCTTATAACAAACTCAGCACTGTCACTAACGTTTAAGTCTAGGAGCAAAGCGATCGCAGCGAACGAACCGGCACTTGCCCCTCCATAACATTTCACTCTCTTCAAAAGCGCGGGAGCGTTTTCTTTCAAACATGAAACTACTCCGAGATGATAGATCCCCAGAAACCCGCAGCCAGAAAACGTCAAGTTTAGATCTTGTTCCTCGGTCATGGTAGGCTTTTCTAAATCGAAATCTCTTGAAATTCAACTAGAAAAGCCAAGACAAACTCTTTCTTTCACGATGGCCACGAGTTCCTTTGTAACGTAAACATCGATTTTTTTGTTGGCGTGTTGTACGCCTTCGTCACACCCATCACCGACCTCCCAACACCCGTTTCTGATTGGCTGATATTGTAAGAGCCAATCAAATCAATACACTCCCCCTTTTACTGACGTTTCCCAAAACAAGATTGAAAACAGGTTTTCTTGAAAACGTGACCTTGGCGGAAAGAAAACAAATTGAAAAATTGTATAAATTTCTTTCGTTCCTTCTAAACAATGAAACAGAAAACTGTCCTTTGAAATTTCGTTTCATGTTTACGCTTTTTTCAAGAGACAAAAGGTTATTTTTCACTATTCGCAGCAAGACAGAATAATGCTTGTTCGAATTTCCCTGGCGGGAAACCTCCCCTCGTGCCAGGCACGGCTAGAAAATGGCAGCCGCGTGACTCAGACATGATACAAATTTCTCCCTGTTCTCCCTCACCCAGCTTAGATTTTATTTGGCGAGAGATATTTCTGAAGATGGAAAATGTTGCACGCTACCTCCAAAGGCAATTGTCGTGACACTCAGAATTTTACATGTAATGTTCCACTTAAAATGTCACGAGCCAATAAAAGTGTTTTGACTGGGTTGCGTTTACGTAACAACCGCTGCTCGCTTCCCGCGTGAATCCCATACAGTGTTCCCATGATGTCTGCATTTTTTTCAATTTCCGTTTCCTTTTTTATTATAGCAGGAAATAATTTTTGACGAAATTTTCTCCGAAAAAAATCTTTATTTTCTCTCTTGCCCGTTTGAGGGAAGGGGCAGCTGTATTTTCCATTTTCTTAGGAAACATCCCGGACCAAGCAGTAAGCATCACTGGATTAGGGGGTTGGTGGGGGGGACGACTGCTCGTCAAAAAGGTTCCCCTTTTTAAATATGGTGTTCTCTGTTTCCAGAGAATTTCGTTCTTCTTTCTTTCGTTTTATAAGTCTAGCCCCGAAGCGTTGACATCTCGCTTAGCGGCTAGAGTTTGTTTGCCTGAGAGAAAGGAGAAATAAAACCTCTTGGAGCTCTCAGAAGGAAAACCTGACGAAGATACATCTCAATTTCGTCTAGCGTTTTAATAGCACCAGGTTTTAGCACTGAGGTCAATTGTTTATGGCTTTTATCGATAAGAGGATTTAAGAAAAGCATGTTTTCTTTAGTTTGAAAAATAAAAAATACGGAAACCAAAAGCCAGTTCATAACCTGTTTTTTTCTTAGTGTCGGTGATCAATAAATAATTCAACATAATATGTCAGAATTTTAAGGTCTCGGGTTTGAAGAAATAGCATCCCTATGGTTTGCTGGAATCATGTTGCGCAACACGTAAATGCAATGTCACTTAAAACTCCCAATATATTCTATTTTTAGTGCTAATCTGCATACCAAGGCCACAATAATTCTTATTTTCTGGCTAAACATGCGCTGCTTGTTTTGCATCCCCTCATGCTTATAATCCTGTCTTTTCCGGAAGTTTTAACTCTTGAATGAGGACTTTTTTCACCGTTGGTATTGATTTTCGTTCAATGTGTGATCTCTTCCAGACTATCAGATTTCATTTCCGCAAAGGATGGAAAATAGGCATACAGAATTTTTTCGTCAGTTGTGCGACCCTGGCCAAATTGTGTCATTTGTTTTTAAATAAACATGCAGTCTTTCGAGACCATTTTTCGAGGTTAAATGGCAAAGACTTCTATATTTTCTAAGTTCAATTATTTAAAAGCAAAATGACTCCACTTTCACTGTTAAAACGTTCATGAGGTTATTCCCTTTCCGGGAAAAATTTCATATTTCTTATCAAATTCATGGCCAGTTAAGCACTTCGTTTTCTCGTATTGTAAAGTCTTCTTGGGAATGCTAGTTTGCTGTTAAAGGTAGAAAATACCAAATCAAATGTTAAGTGTAAAGCTAGCCTGCGTGGCAAGCGATTGAAGGAAAAGAGGAGAATAAAGGCGCTGGCGCCACGATTCATTCTCGCGTGCCTAAGTGTACCCTTTTCCATTCAAATTTCCTCGGACCACCGGCTTACGGTAAGGTACTTCAGGCGAGATGTCATTCTTCCTCGCACTTTCCTTATTACTGCTTCTATATTCTCTAACTGAGTAGGAGAGAGGTTTGGTCTGATCGAGATATCGTCTAGTCTTCGCGCATTTTCAGCGCGCCTGGCTCGACTAGCGACGATGTCTCGGTTCAGCTGTCGGTTCTTGCGAAAATCTTTTGAAAATGTCTTCTTCTCAATAAGATTTGGACTTTCCTATTTGAGGGCTTGGTCGGAGATAGGAGTTTGACCAGCAGATAACAGATCTGGCTTATGAGAACTGTCTGAGAGTTCTTCATGATCGATAGATGCTTATGCCCCTGCTTCTTTGTTGTGTGCTTGCGTTCTTAGTACAACCTTGAACGAATAGTGCATACGGCCTTAATGGGACTTCCAGTTACAGTGATGTGATTGTAGTCACTGTGAGCGATTGTAGCATAAAACATCGCCTCCTTTATCGTATATGGCTGAGAATTAGTGAATTACAATTCCGATAGCAACTCTCGGCGGGATGAATGTTATTGACGAAGAAATGGTTGTCGTTGTGGGCGGTTAGGTGGGGTTCCTTGAGTGTGGCCTCAACTGCAGATATTTTGTCTTTTGTTCAAGAGTAGCGTTCTACAACCGCGGAGCATTGAAGAGAAATCAAGATATGGCAGGGGTGCACTGACCCTTATTTGGTCCAAACGGGTATGTACGGCTATAGGGCATGGTTTTCAGACAGGGGGTCTTGAGTCTTGAACAGGGGATACAATTTCACTGTATTATGTGGTGTCTTGAACAGGCTGTCTTTTTGGACAGGAAGTCTTCAAAAGAGTGTGAAGGTTAATGATGAGCGGTCTTCATGTGTGGTACCAAAACTTTTCTCCCAAAAAATCTAATTCCACGGTGTTAGTTTAAGATCTCTTGTCCGGTATAGAAATGAACGATTTTTGTCTGAAACGGAGTCAGGATTTGAAAGCCGCAGCGGCATATCTGTACATAAACTTCTCTTGCTTGAGTGCTCCCGAGGAGGTTGCGGTCCCTCTTTCGAGAAGAAGAGGCTGAGGCTGAAACAGCGTAGCTAATTAAAATGAAGTTTCCAGAAGTAAAATTTTGCGGCTGGCTTCACCGGTTGAGTTCGATTACCGAACGTGCGATTGCCTACCCCGGGCTTCATTAGTAGTGCAAAATTTCGAAAAATTACCATGTGTACTAGCTTCGATACTATGAATAATGTCAAATGCTAAATGCAAAATACAGTTTAAGAAATGTTTGTGCTTTCCAGGCTGGATAAGAGACCAGAGGCATGCACTCCAGAGTTCGGTTCTACCTGGTTCTACTGAAACATCAGCAAACTAAGCGCCGCTAACATTGAAAATATTGTGAATGTCAAGTAATCTAGCAGTTGTTAATCACGGATATTATTGTTAAGAATCGTATTCATGCATGTCTCTTCGTTCTCTTTTGTTTCAATATTTTTCAACCCTAAAATCTTCATGTTGAAGATAAAGTCAGTTGGGATAAATCTAAAACTATAAGCTGGCTATACGGATCGATATCTATTCCGCTCGCTGCAAGAGATAACGTCATAACGGGTTCGTGCAAAAGATGTTTTGTCAGAAATATCATCCGTCAGATAATTGTTTTCAGTACAGTTGGGGGCGTGAAATTGCAATACTGAGTGAAGTACTTTGTCGACACTTTGCCTAACAAAACAAAAACGACTCAGTTGAACGAAGAGTGTGACGTTTCAAAAAGACGGTTCTCGGTCAGCACGAAAATACCCTGCAAGCAGAGGCCCTTGGGTCTTGCTAGATAAGTCGAACGTTCCTTCCTATTCGCTGCTTATCTAGGAAGATCGAGGACCTCTGTTCGCAAGGTAACATGAAAAGTTAGTCTTTGTGCATTTCTTAGGACCAAGGACTGCAAGGAAAAACCTGTTCGGTGATATCTATACGGTGTGTTAGTGTGAGCTGACCTTGGTATATTGTGAAGCCGCGACATATACTTCTTGTGTATATTAGTTATGAGCAAGAGACTATAAAGGGCAGCCTTTATACTCTTGTTATTAATTCTATTTGTTATAGAGCTAGCCTTGAAGGGGGGGGGAGGGGAGGGGGGTTTGGTGGTTTTAGGCCGGAGTGATAGGTCCCCTTTTACCTCCCCTCTCACGTGCCCCGATTTGATAGATCCCAGGCCCAGTACAGCAGCAGCCTGGTGACCTCTGATTTGAATGACCACGTATTCTAATCATAGTACACTATTTTTAAAGCATTTAGGCATTTTCGAAAAAAAAAAAAATCTATTGTCTGAGTATTAGCACGTAGTCGACAACTCAGCCGCCCGGATTAAGTAAAGGTATCTCTCGTTGGTTCTAATTTTTCCGTATTGTTGTAGTTGTTTTTTTTGTTTTTCCGCGATCCAACCTGAAGAGTTCCAGCAAAAAATTCAAAATGTCCGCGAAAAGTTGCTCTATTGTAGATACCGGTATTCTCTACAAAAAATTCACAACAACTTGAAAAAACTAACAAAAATAGTTCCTGGTTAATTAAGAAAAACTTTCTGAAAATCGCTAAAACTCATTCCTTGCAAGAAAAACCATTCACTGTCGTAATAAAAATTGTCAACACCCTCCAAAAACACTCCCGCAAAAATTTCACGAATACTGTCCCACCCGACACAGCATCGAAGCGTTGTTGAAGAATTGTCCAAAACTGTAATTTTTCGTTACTTGAGGAAATAGTTACATCCGACGTTAGATTTTATGTAACTGGCCCCGGAGATTAACCTTTTAACGTCTGGCCATGAAGATAATAGCTTATTCCAGGCTCCGAAGTAGTCGGGTCCATGAAATTGCAGAAATTGAAAATCGCGAAGACGAAAAAAAAGGGGGGGGAACTAGGGAGAGGAAGGGCGGTGGCTGCCTTCCTTTTTCCCGCCTTCGCCCTCTTTTCCCAGATTATGCGTTCATATTTTCGCGTGCCTTTCACTTACGCGTCATCCCTACTATCTGAGAGGCTGGAACAGGCTATGAAGATAAAGAGATTGACTGGACTGACCGTCTGGCCCCAGTGGTTTAAATGGTGGATAACGCCATCCACCTGATGAAACTCTATCCACTGGATAGCGCAATTGTTTTCCCTGATGCTTTTCCACGGGATAGTGATTTATCCGGTGAATTACACTATCCAGCTTTTGAATAACTGGCATGAGGCCGCTGAGATGTAAGCTATTTTATACGCCCGGCGTTGGGGTTTATGCACCCCAGTACCACGTGACCAGTTCAAGTAAATTCAATTTTATCCGAAAAAAATTTTTTTTTGAGTGAAATTTCGTCTTCAAGTCGGTTAAAAGTCAAGACAAAAGTGTTAGTAAATACAAATTATTTTCGGATTTAACGTTCAGCGACGTTTTAAGATTTGGGTATTGGACCAGAAGGGGTCTCTGTATTGAACAAAGTTAGTAAAATAGACAATCACAACATCATTTAAAATGTTGCTCGTGTTTAGAGTGTGCTTCAACAAAATTGAAAGAAAAGCTTCACTAAAATAAAGACCTCTAATTTACATTATCGCGCAGACCGGACTATTCTAAATCTGGCCGAAAAAAATGTCTGAAGAAGCAGTGAGTGCGGAACTTTGTAATTTAAGGGGGCTATGTCAGGCTATTTGCTATCTTTTTAAAAAGCTTAATGTTTTCTTAAATCAGTTGAATTCCATTAATAATGGTCATTGAAACTGCTTCCTGTCGTCTGTTGCTACGAATGGCAAGGATGGACATGGATGGAAACTTGTAAAAGTTGGGCCAATGTGTTCAAGTTTTAATACTTTGCCTGCAGAAAATCACCAAAAAATTATTATGTTAATTCTCGGTGATGAAATTTGGTTGACATCTTCTTCATAACTGTCTACAGGAGCGTTTTGTGTTTGGGTATAGGTACTACGTAATGAATTCAGCACAGAATTGACCTAAAACAGCCTACGTGCTGGTTCCACTTCAAAGTAGGCAGCTAAGCAACGACGACGGCAGTGAAAACTTCGCCAAAAAACTAAATTTGGGTCGTTTCAAACTTTGGCGCGTCTATTGAACCCTGCTAGTCTGTCAAATGTAGGCAATTTCTCCTGGAGTTGAATTCTTAAGGACTTTATCCAGGTTCAAAAAGAAAAAGGAAAATTCGTCGTCGTATGTTCACGTCCTCTATAAAACGTCGCCTAAGGAGGTTTCACGGTGCAGTAGATGTCCGTCAAAGAAATGTACTAAAAAGCGTGATGCACGTTCACAGCTGTCATTTTGCTCGTAAAAACCAATTGTTTTTTGTCGTTGTCGTCGCCGGTCGCCGCTGCCCGCCGCCGTCGTTGCTTAGGCTCCCTAACAGTAACCAAAACAGACACCGTGGCGATATCCGGCTCGGATTCTTTGCCTTCCGGCAATAAGAAGCAACAACCGGAAATTCTTTTTCTTCTCAGGCTAATATTTCGATTGATGTTCTATATTTGATTCATCGCGATTCCAAATTCGCCACCCCATTTGTGTATTTGCCTGATGTAGCTCGAGTGGCGGGATAAATAGCGGGCGTTATTTGTGTATTTTCATAGGAAACGAGTGCCTTCGTTGTACTTACCTTACTACGTATATTAGTGTTTTTCTAAAAAAATATATTGCTGATCCAGGTTTGGAGAACGTTTTGGGTTCTATCGCCTGATTTTGCTCATTTTATCAATTACTATTTTCGTTTTTTTCTTTGTAGGTTACTTATAAAGAGTACAGACTGACAAAGAAAATTTAATCAAGGCCCATCATAAAAACCCTCTTCTTCCAAACAGAACCTGCAACTGTCATAACTGAAGCTACTCAAAGGTAACAACGTTACTTAACTTCATGAACATTGATTAGTAGAGAGTAATCAATCGTTAGCCGATCACTCTGCTGCTCAACGTAAAAATGACTAATCGAGGAGTAGCAAAGGCTTTTCTTCCGTACGCCCTACTGGCAAGTGCACTATTTATACTGCTGCAGAGCATTCCGATAGGTGTGGGAATTGTAACCATTGCATTATCACTGATATGGTACAGCAGCCGCTGTTCGGTTGATATCACAAATGTAGAATTTCTTAAGCTGCACGACATACCCCACCACAGAGCGGAAGTGTCTGCTCTTGTGACGTCACAATGGCCCGTTCCCGTGACCGCCGAGGGAATCGAGGAAGCTAACTTTGTGCGCACCTCGAGCTTGAATGAATCTTGCGACACCCTGCCTTGTCATTTACTCGCGCTGGCGTCGAAGAATGGTATCAGGCAGGTTGTTGCGCATTGTGTCTTGCGAGAAACTTCGTCTTCCAGACCGCAAGACATAAACAGATATCTGAAAATGCTGAAAATTGGCCTGCCTCACGCAGCTGTACAACAAGCCATGGAAACGGCAGGTTTAGATCCCTCAAAATTACCCGATCATCTCGAGGAAGTAGAGTTTCGTACGACGCATAATCTGGGAGAACTTCAAAACGTCAATCTATCTGCTCTCGTTGTGAAACCCGAGTTCCGCGGTCGTGGCCTGGGGAAGGCTATGTGCGCGTACGCAGCTCAGGTAGCTTCCGGTCTAGGTGCACAGGAAGTTATAGGAGGCTGCCTTGATGAATTACTTCCCTTTTATGGCAAGCTTGGTGTTAAAAAAAGGAGTGCTAAGACGAGAGAAGGTATACCTAAGATACGGCTTGGAAATGAAATGTTTCTTACGCTAGATGACGATGTTCTTAAAAAAGCGGAGAAGATGCTTGATGAGTCTAAGTCCAAATAACTTTGTCTGAATTTGAATGCCATTTTTGGGTGATTTAAACCTTTTTAATGGCGAACAAAACCCAGCTCGCAATTTATTGTCTGTAGCGGTTCTCTTGTTCTTTTGGTCCTTACACTTTACTGGCAGCAGCCGATCCAAACGGGACCAAATTAAATCCAATTTTGTACGTTTGTATATATATTCAGCCAAGTGCCACAGAGATGTAAATTTTTTTTTATATCAACTGAGTACCGTATAAAAGATTTACATGTGACGTTTCCAGCGTCAGCACTTCAGGGATTGTTGGTTATGTGTGGTGTATGTATTGAATGGTGGTGTTTTGTTAGTGGTCAGCTATTGGGGGGAGCCTGGTAAAATGAAAAACACTCTTTAGGGCTATTTATACGAGGTAAAATAAGACGCGTCTTACATAGGACGCGTCTTAAATAAGACGCGAACTTTCCGTATAAACGGCACATTTTGTCTAAAATAAGACGCGTCTTAGCTAAGACGAGAAAAACTTCGTATAAATGACCTTCGCGTCTTACATAAGACGCGAACGCATAGTACGCATGCTTTAGTTTTTGGCGCGCCACGTTGGATTGCCGTTGCTACAGGCAACATTCACATGAAAACGAGTCAAGAACAGAAATAATACGCGAACCATTTATACAAGCTGTTCTCGTCTTAGATAAGACATGGTCGTATAAATGGTCCAGTTCGCGTCTTATTTAACACGCGTCTTATTTTGCCTCGTATAAACGGCGCTATTGTGATTTTTTTGAAATGTGGAGTGCCGTTTTAAAAGACAGTATGGTTAGTAGTTAAAAGAAACCTCGTCCTAAAAGGAGAAGCCCTGGAAACAAGAGTGCGCGTGAAAAGGTACTTTTGCAAAGAATTCTGCAATACAACACTTCTAAGTGTTGAAGCTTCAGCTGAAGCTGGTTGACGTACTCTACGTGGTTTCTTCTTTCGTCTTGAGAAATTAATTGATTGTAGAACTTTCATAGTCATTAGTTGAAAAGAAAGAAAAATGACTTTAAATGTGTAGCCCAATTACTGGTAACCCAGTGGTGTACATTGTGCGGGCCCACAAATAAAGAACAGAAACGAGTAATTCATATAAACGTAACAAGTAAGAATCCCAAACCAGTTGGCTATTGACACGCATAGCCGGCGAGTTGAACTCCCTAAGTTCACCAGTGCATTCGTCATCCATCCTTGACACCGACGTGCAGCCTCATTCTGGTGACGAGACTGAAGAAATCGAAAAGGAAGAACAGTCACCTCACTCTTAACAAACACCTCTATAAAACGGGCATCTAGACTTGGTCCGTGCCTTTTTTATTGCTTTTAGGTGATCCTCTATAAGACGGACACAAAGTGCCGATCCCAAAGGTGTCCGTCTTAAAAAGAGTCGAATTTATCCCCAAAACATCACTTCATAAAAACTGTTTCGAAGTTATACATGTCTGGCGAACGGTTTGATGGAAGCCCAAACACTTTTCACGTTTTGTCGAGACAAGATATTGCAATTCAAATTGAAGTGTCGTCATCGCGTGATTCCGTAAAGTGCGGGTAGAAAAGATTTGAGAATTAATTCCTCAGTAAAACTGGGCGAAAGTAGTACAGAGGCTGAATAGTATTTATTATTCGACTTATTTGACATGAAATTGTTATCAAGACCCTTAATGCTAACTATTTCCACTCTAGTTTTCCCAAAATACTGACCTGAAGAATTTGTCTGTGTTCATGCTCTAAACAGCAGCATTCTTCAGTTTCACTGATTTGTTACTGGGACCGAGGAACTTCTTAATGACCAAACGAGACACTGAATTCCAGCCTGTTTGACCTTTGGGGTTTCCATATCCTGCACAATTTCCAATGTTGATTCCAACTCTGATTCGACCTTTGTGTATGTTGTTACAGTAGTCCTTAAGGAACCCCGGTCTGTGGATGTCTTGATCACTTTTCGCGTTCCACACCACTGTGTCAATAGGTAAGGGACCAGTGCACTCGGCACCATTGAATGTGATGAACCATCGCTTACAGCAGGTGATACATCCCAGAAGTCTTAAGGTACCCTGGTAAACAACACGGAGAGCACTGTCGTCCCTGGTTTTTGTGAACTGACAGTCCTATAACGACCGCTGATGGATAATGTGATGCGATAAGGATACTAGTGGATAATTGTAAAGACATAATCGACACCAACATTGTTTGTTGCTATAGTCTTAAATAAACAGTTGGGCAACAGAGGTACAATTTTCTTTTGGCAAATTGTTTCTACTTTCTCTGTTAAACTTACTGAGTATAATGCTCGTGGCAATAACTGGACCTGTCGCTTTAAATTTGATTGCGGAAAAATCACAAAACCCTGATCAGTCCAATATCACTGTTGTCGTTGATTTTCCAGGCACACTGTTTCCAGTTTCTGTGATCAGTGTCTTTTCCACTTGCTCCCATTTCTCCCTTGATACCACGTGGTCCAGGGGTACCTGTCACGCCCTTTTTACCTTCAGCACCATCTCGGCCCTCGCGGTCTGGTAACCCGTTATGTCCATTGACTTCGCTACGTCCAGGGAGGCCAGGTGATCTTTGCAAGCACGTGTTTGAGTTCTGTGTTATATGAATTTAAAGAAATTAAAGGGAAAAGTAAGTCGGCATAGAAAAGCATAGAATAACAGTGTCCATTTTTATTTAAAGGGGAAAAAGGTAAAAGAACAGACAAAGTGTTTAAATTGTCGTTAACATACAAGTAATACAGATTCAGTCACGTACAAACGTTATTCATATTCTTGAAGTCATTCGCGTTTAACAAGCCGTTTCTTAGAAAGGCTTTGATTGCGGTTGTTTGATTGATGGGATATTCGATATGTCGCTCTCTTTGCTCGATATATGGGAATCAAATGTCATTTCCAATGTGCGTTTTTGTCTTTATAATTAATTCAAGGACATGTAAAAGAGAAGAACAACAAGTACTTTGTTGTCATTTATAAGATTGTGTTTAAGACATACAACTAGCTTTGGAAAAAGTAATACGGTAACTTTTCGTAAGACATGACAAAGAAAACAGTTATACTAGTTATCGGTTCTAGACAACATTGTTAATTCGGTTTATATTGCTGCAAAAATTCAGAGGTTAAAAGGACTGTTTTTGTGCGCATCTGGCCAGTTTTATAAAATTTGCACTTAATGTCATTTTTAGCGAGTTTATCACACACCGTTTGCGCGCTACTTTTTCATTTTCATACGACAGCAAAGGAAACCTACCTTGGCGATAGAGGAAACATTTTTGTCAGTATAAACAGCACACACCAAAGACACAAACAGGAAAAGTAGGCATTCAAAAACAAGATTTCTGGCCATCTGCAAGTCGTAAAACGTTGGACGCAAACCTGACTTCGGAGCTGAGATGAAAAGTTTTAAACTCCAATACGAGCGTACTTGATGTGTTGCGACGTTTAATAAAGTGGAGGACGAGAATGAAATGAATTCAGTTTTTGAACCGAGGACAGGGCGAAAAAGGCGTGGTGCTGACAAACTTCTGGGGATAAAATATTGATAAGAGAGGCTCTTACGGTAACTTGATCTTAATATGAAATCATTTTTTCGTCCCTCGAACGTGTTCTTAGCCTAGGACCAGGCTCCTTAGTTGGAAAAAGGGGCGAATAACGAGGCGACCTTGAAGAAAGAGGCGAGCTCCCCCTTAACGCTATTAACCCCGTTATTTGCCTTTTTTTCAACCAAGAAGCCTAGTATCAGTCCAACCAATTGGCGTCGCCAGAGCAGCGATATCATTAAGGGATGATAATATTATACACTGTAATGACCCTGCCTAAAGTATATACCACTGAGTGTCGTGGCGCTAGCCCAAAGGATCGCAGCTCTGAGGACGAGGATGCCTGCAACCGAATGGGACCAGTAGAAAAGACTCTAGAATCATGCGCATGTCAAAGCCCCACTTATTGACCTCCACGCGAATCGGTGTATGGCCTGAGTTTCGCCTCGTCCCTGTGCGGCGTCCTCCAAGGCCTTCTCGGTCAATGCACTTCGTGACAGTGACGTATACGAGACGAACGACAAGAGAGCCTGCTTGGACCACGTGACCCGAGAAGGATAGACCGCGCGGAATGATGAGGCCTTGGGACTAGGCAAGCCGAAGCTTAGGTTTCTGAAAAATTTCGGCATTGAAAGAGTATCAGGTGAACGGCAAAATTTTTCAGGAAATTTGTATGTTTTTTCTGTGTGTGTGACTCTGGAATTTGTCCAAATTTCCAAAATGATGTATGTCACCATGAATTTATCCTTCCTTTTAAGTTTGCCTCCCGAGCAAAAAAGCCTATTTTTTCGTCATGCATTTTTTGAGTTAATGCGTATATCAGCTTATGTTCGTAAAACAAAAAGTGGCGGAAAAGGTTTAAAGTTCAAGCGTTGATGCTGGTTTAACTGTGTTGAACTAACCTGTTCTGGCGTTCGGATAGTGGAGTACAGCGCGAAGGAAGAGAGCTGTCCCCACGATCTGAACGCCTGGAACAGGCTATGTTGAACCGACTAAACTAAATTGAAATGACACACTGTGTTAAAATGATATTACATGAAAAAAATTAAGGATGCCAAAACGAGAGCTTTTTATCAGTTATCCAAAACCTAAGGGGTATGTTTTCGTTTTTTTGGCCAATGTAGCTTGTAAAATTGAAGGGGGTATTGATAATAAATTTTAAGAGACCAAACATGACTTTTTTAACTTGTATTACACACATTCATTTGATTGACAACACAGAGATTTGAGAAATTCACTCGATATAAAACCAGTGGAAAAAATCGTTTCTTAATGATTTTTATTTCAGTGGCAAAGGGTTGTTCATACACAAGTACTCACGTGCTCAGTAAATGGGTGGCCTTAAACTAACTTACTTTATATGAAGATCTAAAAAACCCCTTAAAAGTGTTATCGTTTTCCCTGTGGTTACTTTATCTTATTATCTGAAGAATTTACTTTTCTTAAAAATCACGTGAACTTTCTTTTTTTGTCACTGGGACCGAGGAACTTCTTCAATGATCAAACGAGACACTGAATTCCAGCCTGTGTAACCATCAGAGTTTCCATATCCTGAACAATTTCCGATGTTGATTCCAACTCGGATTTTGCCCTTGTGTATGTTGTTACAGTAGCCCTCAATGGACCCGGGTCTGTGGTTGTTTTGTGAACTATGTCTGATAAATTGCACTGCGTCAATAGGCAGGGGACCACTGCACTCAGCTCCATTGAAAGTGATGAACCATCTCTTGCAGCAGTGACTACACCCTCCCAAATAGAGGTTTCCTTGGAAAGTAACACGGAGGGCAGTGTCATCCTTGATTTTAGTGAACTGACAATCCTGCAACAACAAATCAGTTGTGAACAATTATATTCAGGGAAATTGTCATTATCAGGAGCCCATCACACACCCTAAATTTCGTTTAAAAAACCTAATTTTATCCAATGCGGATATACCACTGCATTGACAACTTTCAACAATAACTGAAAAGGCAGGTGAAGCACAGTGGCTGGGATGATATTTTTGTATGACGAGTATTTGTTATGCTAACTGAACTATTATAGCTTTGATCACAGATAAGTTAACAAGCCTTGATCAGTCCAATGTCACGACTATCGTGACTCCTCCACGCGCACTGTTTCCAATTCCGGTGATCAGTATCTGTTCCACTTGCTCCCATTTCTCCCTTCGCACCACGTGATCCAGGGGCGCCTGCCACGCCCCTTTTACCTTTAGCACCATCTCGGCCGTCGCGGCCTGGTGACCCGTTGTGTCCATTTACTCCGTTACGTCCGGGGAGGCCAGGGGATCCTTGCAAGCACGTGTTTGAGTTCTGTGTTACATAAATGTTCAAAAATAATAGTATATTCACTTGCACCTTTTTTTTTTTAGCAAAATTTGGGTTCAGGTCAGTAATAAATGATTGACATTAAGTATAGAAGAAGCTCAGCCAATCATCTGCCTTTTGTAGATTCTTAGAGTCATCATTCTCCCTTGTTCTCTTCTCGGAGAAGTGACAACAGCACAAGAGATGTGCGTTTTGTTATAAATCCTTTCGTTCTTTGAGCCCAAGACAGGAGTGCCAATTATAATTTGCAAACTGTGTTTTCAAACTCTCTTTTAAAAATATACATTTAAGAAAATAAAAGTTCTAATCTCAAAAGTATTTCAAATCTGAAATTTTCGTTTCCACTTACGCTGATGCATGGAAAACTGATCTCGCCGCTACTTTTTGTAAGCCTTTATGACTAACAGACTCAACAACTTAAACCGTCTTTCAATCAGATTCGTTCTCCGCTCTTCTTTGCATAGTTTAAGAAAAGTCAATTCTGTGCGCTGATTTATCTTACCTTAGCGAAAGCGGTGGACGACACCGACAGACAAAGTAGACACCAAACAAACAGATTTCCTTTCTTCATCTTGAGGGTACAAGAAAAACGCAAAACAAGTTACGAACTGAGGAAAACGTGCGTTGAACTCCAACTGCACAAGTCTTCTGGTGTTCTGTTTTGTGTGAAGTTAGAGACGAAGGATAAAAGTTCACTTTTTGAATTAATTGTAACGAAATTTTTCTTGTTGTGTGAGCACAATGGCATGTGCTGACCGACTGCCACATTTACTGACCTTGAACAACGTAGTGGAATAACAGCGAACAGGGAGATAACTATGTTTGTATGTGCGATCACGATTATTGAACGTTTCAAATATAAAAAATATCCTTGCTTGAAAAATCTCGATTAAAGCCAGGCAAGCAAATTAATGGACTTAAAATAATTGTTCGTTTTTCACGAAATTCAAGCTCTTGAGCTGGTTTTGTCTCTTTTTTTTTTCACCAGAATTTTAATGGGGACTTATAGACAGTTCACTAAGGTAACCCCAAATTTTCCTAACATTTGATGTTATTATGGTGTTTTAGGGAGTTTTTCATTTTTACTTATAAAACCCGTGAACAGTATAATTTGCCATTGTGGTTTAAACAGCGCCATTTCACTGTCTAATAAAAAAACTTAAAACAGGCCCTATATGTTATTATTAGCGATGTGTCGATCCTTATTGCTTTGAGGCTTTGAAGCTTTCCTTCAGGCAAATTGTAAACCAGACGAGTTTTCTTACAACTTTAGACTGTTTTAATACTGGCAGAGTTGCTAAAAGTCCGGCTAAATGAGTGAGCAGCGAAGAATTACCAGTACACATATGATCTTTTTCTTCGTTCAACCTTACCTTCCCAGTAATTTCAGTATGGTAAAGTTTAACCTCTCCTGAGCGCAGAAAATGAAATTGGTAAGGATGACACCTTGCATGGGACCTATGAGTCCCGTTCGTACCTATTCCCTCTGGGCAGGCCTGTGTCCAGAAAAGCTTGTAAAACTAAAACTAAAACTAAATAGAGTTTTCGTCATGAAATGCTCGCTTACGGAATCTCTCCATATGAAGTATCACAGAAGGTAATCAAAACTGGCCGAAGGTGAGCTCTATTTTGTCTTACCGTTAATTTAGCCAATATTCTCTCTACGTGGATCAACTAGTCTACGGCTGCTTCCCAAGCCTTAAATTGCGGACTGCAAAGCACACGCAAAATAAATCGTGGTTCTGTTTCTCAGCGTTTTGATCTGTTCCAAAGAATGTTGCTTCTGTGGAAATTGTTTTTAATCGAAGCAACCCAAACGCAATACAGTAGGCCTGTTGTCGTTAATACACAGAGTGACCATTGAACAGTTGACGGTCTCTTTTCTATGGCCTAATATATAAGTAGCTTGTTATGTATACGAAGTATGGTAATTTTTATCTAAACCTTTGCCGCTACTAGAAGAATTCTGTTGTTAACAAACACACGTTTTGGGTTTTCAAGTAGATTCTGTGGATTCGACCCTAGAAACTTTGCCCTTTGAATAATATCAAGAGCCATAATGGGATTCTCTTGATAATATCTGTTGAGCACATCCAGAAGTGCTGTCTTGGAATTATCGACGACATATTAAAAGACGAGCAAATCGAGATGCATAAATTTTAAACGGAATGCTGAATCGTTTAAGAGTAGCCGCGGCGAGTGTGAAATCATCATACACTGCAGCTGTTGTCTTGAATTGAGGGGTACTAGTAGCCGATGGATCTTGTAAAGTTTATCTCATAATGTTAAAAAATGAAGGCGGGTCCGGTTTTAGAAGTTGTAACTCAAATGCGATGTCTGTTCTGTAAACAGGGGCACTCAACGATGATTTCCTCCTAAATTCGTTGAAAACACTTTTTAGGCTATCCAGAGTAGTTTTAGATGTCTAGAAATACATTATAAGCGGCGCTATAAAATTTGTATCTGTTCGGTCATCCTAGGTGACTTTTCGAAATGCCAAGGGTTTCAGTATAATTTTCCCGAAAATTTTAGATGCTATTTATCGCTTTACGAAAGTGAGAATTTTTCTGATTCCTATCTCAATCACATTTTTAAATCCGAAAATTTTAGGTTTCCTTTTCTACGAAAAAACAAAGTGAAATGTGAAAAATGAAGCTTCAGAAAATCGCAGGGAATTTATTAGATAAGTTTCGAAAATTGTACATGAATGGAACGGTCATCTAGAAATTTTTAGCCGTCCTCAAGCAATAGAAAATTATAGCCAATAATTGCTTCTCCGAACAGATATTTTACAGAAAATAGTCGTTGGCTGCCCATGTGTAAAATCTGTCACCGGATTAAAAGTCTGTCTTGATCATATTTAGCATGATCGTTGACGAGAGAGTATGAGAGAAAAACATTGCAGTCAATGCTGTAATTTATCAATAAAACGTACTGAAGCGTGATTTCTATAAAAAGAATTGGCAATATTTATATTTTATTTGTCGGCTTACCCAGTCACTGATGAGTAACAGAAATATATGTTGGCAGTCCCTGAACGCCTCCATGAAACATGCGAAACTGATGGCATCCTTTATCGAAAAAGCCGAATGAATGGGATGTTCAGTATTAAAGGTTTGTATTTGGTCGTGAAAAACAAATGCCAAGTACTGAGTATTTTACTCGGTGAATTAATTACTGAGAATTTTTTCCTGTTTTGATTATTATGACCGCAGACGATAAATATGCCATCTTTTGTTGTTGTTTTTTTTTTCACTTTTTTTAGTAGAAGGCAAGTGTCATTGGTATTATAAAAATACAATTCTGTGTAATCAAAAGTTTTGCTCCTTGTGATATACTTAGAAACTTCACTAGGTGACCTCGACAGGTCCGATCATTAGGGACTTTAAGGAAAGACTACGGACGTTTCTAGGCGGTGACCGGAAGTAATTTTTTTTCACCATTCGTCAACAGATACTACGACGGCTATAGCGGTGAAAACGTCTCTTAAAAGTGTATTCGCCTTTTTTTATTCTTTATCGCGATTATTCTTAGCCTCCCACGCAGGCGTTTTTAGGTGAGCTCGTTTTTCATCCCTCCCCTAAAAACGCCTGCGTGGGAGGCTAGATTATTCCAAGTCCCTTACTTTGTCAAATGTTTGCGAACGGTTGAAGCCGTGCAGTGAGCCTCCACGGCAAGGAAATGTAAAAAAAAAAACATTCATAAAAAAGGGCGATTCATGGGCAAACTCAGGGCTTCCTTGCGGCGTTTTATCAGTCTTATCCACGCCACGTGGTGCAATGATATCCGTTATGAAATCCTCTTTCCCGTCAACTGTATTTTGCGTATATATTTGGCTGTATTTTTCACTTAATGGGTGTCGTGCTTGACACTGAAATTTGAGGCTCATGATCGAAAAATGAACCGTCGATTCAGAAATTTCCAAGGATGACCAAAAAAGGATAAAATGCGTGTATCTTGCGATTCTGTATCAAATATACACTGGTGTTCTAAGGACGTAAAATAGAACTGAATACTTAACGTAGTAGACACTACGGCCCGCCATGATCTTCTACGTATTCAGGAAGCGCAATACGGCCAGTCAATAAATTTAATTTTAAAAAGCGACGTTTTGACCGCTATAGCCGTCGTGGTGCTTTGAACTTGAGGCATTGACGCGTGGCGGGAACAAAATACTTCCGGTCACTGTACTAGACCCTTCCGTAGATGTTGCTTAAAAGTCCCTATTTTGATGTACAACAAGTGTAATTATGTGGTTTTTTATATGAGCCCAGTCGACCGCGTTGGTGTTTATTTCCAAGGTTTCACCTCGCCACAATTGTCTTGTACTAGTGCAAATTAGTTTGATCTCTTCATGTTATTAGGCAATGGGATGTGCAGTAATGGGCCTCAAAGGTCCCACGCGGGGCCCCTGTTTACCTGGAGGTGGGGGACCTCAGATAGGTGAGGTAACACGGCTGGTCACCCCGCCTATCATGTAAACGTGATCAAATTAAAATGAGAGATTATATGGACAGGAGGGTTACCTCACCTACCCGGGGTCCCCCACCTCCATGTAGACAGGCCCTTAGTTTGCCCACAATCCCATGAGAGATGTACACTAGGGCTGGTAATAAACTGAAAGAAAACGTTACGTTCCTAGAGAGTCAATTCGAGGAAAGGGTGGGTAATGGGTATTACAGTCTCCCTCCAAAAATCGATGACAATTGTTATGCAAAATTTTGGGGGGTATGCAAGGTGCATTATAGTCTATGTGAAAACGGGTGAATAGACCATTTCCGAGTTGCCTAAGTCTCTGCTTCAAAGCCAGGCTAAGTGCATATCTATATGAAAATGATTTTTAATTGTCATGCAAATAAAACTTATTTTCACAAGAAAGTTTTTGCAGTAAGCCTCATTTTGAAAGTGAGAATTTTTGGAATTTGGCTACAGCCTATTACATATCCTTTACCAATGGCATATATTTAATGTCCTAAAGGGTGGGCGCTCACTGGAAAACCTTAAGGGTAAGCACCTATTTTATAAAGGATAGGCACTTAGAAAAAAACCTTTAGTTAATGTCTTGGGGGTGGCCACTTATTTAATAAACGTGAGAACAGGCGCATATCTAATAACCTTAAACTGGATAGGTGCTTATAAAAAAATGACATGTTCATACATCAGTAGTCACGTGCAGAGTTTATTGTGGTTTTGAAGCTGAACTGCTTTACATGAAAATGTTATTAGAGCCCTTAATTACGTCATTAATAATCACCTGACGCTTTTCAACTTGTTACTGGGACTGAGGAACTTCTTCAATGATCAAACGGGACACTGAATTCCAGCCTGTGTAACCATTGGAGTTTCCATATCCTGCACAGTTTCCAATGTTGATTCCAACTCGGATTTTGCCCTTGTGTATGTTGTTACAGTAGCCCTCAATGAACCCGGGTCTGTGGTTGTCTTCGTCTTTATTTCGGATCCACAGCACTGCGTCAATAGGCAGGGGACCACTGCACTCGGCTCCATTGAAAGTGATGAACCATCTCTTGCAGCAGCCGCCACATCCTCCCAAATACAGGTTTCCCTGGTAAACAACACGAAGAGCTGTGTCATCCTTGGTTTTAGTGAGGTGACAATCCTGCAACAACAAATTAGTTCTGAACAATTATTTTCAGAGAAATTGTCATTATCAGGAGGGCATTATACACCCTACATTTCGTTATACTAGGCGAATATACCACTGCATGGACATCGTTCAACAATAACTAAAAAGGCAGGCGAAGCACAGTGGATGGGATGATATTTTTATTTATGCTAACTGAACTATAGCTGTGATCACAGATAAATTAACAAGCCTTGATCAGTCCAATGTCACGACCGTCGTTATTCTTCCGCGCACATTGTTTCCAGTTCCTGTGATCAGTGTCTGTTCCACTTGGTCCCATTTCTCCCTTCATACCACGTGATCCAGGGGGACCTGCCACGCCCTTTTCACCTTTAGCTCCATCTCGGCCATCGCGGCCTGGTAACCCGTTATGTCCATTGACTCCGTTACGTCCGGGGAGGCCAGGTGATCCTTGCAAGCACGTGTTTGAGTTCTGTGTTAAATACATTTCAAAAATAACAGTATACTCACTTGCACCTTGCACTTTTGAGCAAAATTTGGGTTCAGGTCAGTAATAAATGATTGACATTAAGCATAAACGAAGCTTAGCCAATCATCTGCCTTTTTTAGATTCTTAGAGTCATCATTCTCTCTTGTTCTCTCTCGGAGAAGGGACGCTAAACAAGAGATGTGCGTTCGTGGACTGACTTGATTGACCCAATGGCGTTCTTTGAGCGGAAGACAGGTGTGCCATTTATAATTTGCAAGCTGTGTTTTCAAACTCTCTTTTAAAAATATACATTTAAGAATATAATCTCGACACGAAGCTGTGATCTCAAAAGTATTTCAAAGTTGAAATTTTCGTTTTCACTTACGCCGATGCATGGAAAAATGTAGCCGCTACTTTTTGTAAGCCTTTATCACTAACAGACTCAACAACTTAAACCGTCTTTCAATCAGATTCGTTCTTCGCTCTTTTTTGCATAGTTTAAGAAAAGTCAATTCTGTGCGCTGATTTATCTTACCTTAGCGAAAGTGGTGGACGTCACCGACAGAAAGAGTAGACACCAAACAAATAGATTTCCTTCTTTCATTTTGAGGGTACAAGAAAAACGCAAAACAAGTTACGAACTGAGGAAAGCGTGCGTTGAACTCCAACTGCACAAGTCTTGTAGTGTTCTGTTTTGTGTGAAGTTGGAGACGAAGGATAAAAGTTCACTTTTTGAATTAATTGTAACGAAATTTTTCTTGTTGTGTGAACACAATGGCATGTGCTGACCGACTGCCACGTTTACTGACCTTGAACAACGTAGTGGAATAACAGCGAGCAGGAGGATAAGTGTGTACAATCAGGATTATTGAACGTTTCAAGTATGAAAAAATCTTTGCTCGATAAATCTCGATTAAAGCCAGGTGAGCAAATTAGTGAACTTAAAATAAATGTTCGTATTACACGAAATTCAAGTTCTTGAGCGGGTTTTGTCTCTTTGTCACCAGAATAAAATTGATAATAAACGTTTAAATTTGAGCAAGGACTTACTTTAGACAATTTATTAAGGTAAACCCAAATTTTCCAACATTTGATTTTGGTAAGGTGTTTTAGGGAGCTTTCTTTACTTATAAAAGCCGTGACAGTATAATTTTGCTATTGTACTTCAAACAGCGCCATTTCACTGTCTGATATACTTAAAAAAGAGGCCCTGTATATTATTATTTGCGATGTATCGCAGATCCGTATTGCTTCATGGCTTTAAAGCTTCCGTTCAGGCAAACTAAAAAACCAGACGAGCATTCTTACAACTTTAGACTATTTTAATACTGGCAGAGTTGCTAAAAGTGCGGCTGAATGACTAACCAGCGAGGGATTACCAACAGGTAAAACAATTTTTTCCTCTTTCTGTTGACCGGCTGGGGAAGCTTCCATCAAAGGAACAACAGCTTTCGAGAACACAACACTTTATTCTCAGAGCACATGCGGCCATCTTCATACAATACAACACGGCCCACGCGGAACACCGCTGACCCCTACTTTACCATGACAGAATTGTCTCCTATCAACATCCTCCCTTTCAAAGAAAACTATTAACATGTTAATATGTTTCGAAAAAAAATAATAATAATACAAGAAAAACATAGTAAGTCATTAACACTAACAAATGTGAACAGGCAATATCAGATAATAGTCAACATCGAGTACCATGCTGCACTCTAGTCTCCAGTTTCAAAGGTCCAGCCTCTTTGGTGGTCTAATTGGTCGGCCATAACGCGAGGTTTGCACTGGTGGAAGTGAATTCTCATTCGTGGACTCGGAAGTGGGGTTAGGCACTATGGTTTCCGCAGAATTTCCGACATCACACCACTATCTATTACTGGTTGTTCTGGCAAGGGTTGTGAGTCACATGAGACCTGGCGCTCATTAGGTCTTAAGTGGATCCTGTTCCGTCTAACCAACCCGTCTTGCGTTTTTATCACGTACGAGCGTGGTGTTACTTCGCCCAAGACTTCGCCGTGACCCCACTGTTCACCATGGTGATGGTCATTTGGCCTAGTGTACACATACTGTCCAGGCGTAAGAGGGGTAAGTCTCTGCTGGCAGTTTTGTCATAATGAGCTTTGGCTTTAGCTCGCCTACCCAGATGCTCGTCACGGACTACGTTTACAGGTGGTACAGATTGGCTCAACAATGATTCAGATGTTGGTAAGTTAGACTTTGTTCGTCGGCAGAGAAACCTTTGTGCCGGAGAGTAAGACATACCCTGAGGCGGAGTGTTCCTATGGTCTAAGAGACCAGTGCAGAGGTCTGACTTTTTTAACATCTTCTTGGCCTCCTTAACGGCAGCTTCAGCTTTACCGGTAGCTCTAGCATAATACGGTGACCGGGTAATCAACGTGAAACCACAGTTCTTGGCAAAATTCGAAAATTCCTGAGAGGTATACTGAGGTCCATTGTCGGACAAAAATATATCTGGTATACCATAACGGGCAAAGTGCGCCTTTGTGACTGAGATAACATGGGCAGCATTGATGTCTTCATTCAACAGATCGACCTCAAACCAGTCACTGTAGTGGTCTACCGTAACAGAATACCAACGCCCACCCTGCTTGAATAGGTCCTGCGAGATAAATTTCCATGGACCTTGTGGAATTTCATGAGACAACATTGGTTCCTTTGGGAGGGCTGAACCATAGCTAGCACACAATGAACATTTGGCACTCTCTTGAAGGATTGCAGCTTGCATTCCAGGCCAGTACATTACTTCTCGAGCCCGGCGAATCATGCTTTCATCGCCCTGGTGACCGCGGTGGAGTTTTTTCAGCATATTAAACTGTAGCTTCCCGGGAATGAGGACTTTGTGTGACTTGTACAATACACCATTGTATACCGCTAGCTCATCCCTTAACGGATAGTAATGACGGAGTGCTGTGGGCACCTGTGATTTGTCGGAGGGCCAACCATGGGCCACGAACATACATAGGACTGACAGGGTAGGATCCGCCTCGGTTTCAGCTTTAATTTCCTCCAGGGTGCGAGGATACATGTCAGGGGAGTCTAGTTCCATGGTCTCCAGTTCTACCCGGAACATCTCTAGTGCATCCTCTGATTTGCACTGGAACACCTCTTCTTGTGGGTCTGAGGGTGTAGGGAGGTTCAAGGCGGCTCTCGACAGTGTATCGGCCAAGTACATGTACTTGCCTTTCTTGTAAACGACTGTGAACTTGAACGGCTGTAGCTGAAGCATCATCCGTTGAAGGCGTCGTGGGGCTCTACTCAGGGGTTTTTTGAAAATCGTTTCTAACGGCTGGTGATCAGAATGTACTATAACATCTTGTTTACCATAAAGATACTGGTAGAACTTTGTACAGGCTACCTTGATGGCCAGACATTCCTTTTCAATAGGTGCATAGTTGACTTCAGTTGCTGACAGCGTTGAACTTGTAAAAGCCACAGGTTGCCCATCTTGCAGCAGGGCACCTCCAAGGCCTGTGTCACTGGCGTCCACTTGTAATACACATGGCTTGTTCACATCAAAGAACTTCAACGTCGTGGCATTTGCAATTAAGCTTTTGGCTGCCTTAAAAGCTTTGTCATGCTGGGAGGACCATGACCACACTGCATTCACATGTGTCAGCTCAGTGAGCGGCTTCACAATTTCTGCAAGGTTTGGGGTGAAGCGCGACAAATAATTGCACATGCCCAGGAACCGCTGAACCCCTTTCACATCTTGTGGTGGGGTCATGTCCTTAATAGCCTGGACTCGATCTGGATGTGGGGTGATGCCATTACTGCTAAGGAGATGGCCCATCCAAGTAACTTGTTTCACGTTGAACTGAAATTTCCTGGGGTTTAACTTGAGATTCACTTCACGGCACCGCAACATTAAGTTCCACAAGTTAATATCGTGATCCTTCTCAGCCTCCTCCATACTATCTCCACTCCCAAAGACCAAAATGTCATCAGCCTTGTTCACAACACCAGTCAATCCTTCCAGTGCTTCATGTTGTCTACGCTGGTATTCCTCTGGTCCTAAACTGACCCCGAACGGCATACGCAGCCAACGGTAACGACCAATTGGAGTATGCATGGTCGTTAGGAATGAGGAACTGTCATCTAACTCAATGTTCGTGAACCCCTTGTACACGTCCACACAGGAAAAAATTTTGGCATTGTTCAACTTAGGCAGTAACTCATCAACTGTAGGAATGGGGTACTTTGGGACTTCAATGGCTTTATTGATCGTTTGGCTAGGATCAATACACACACGTATGCTTCCGTCGGGTTTCTCTCTATAGACGCTGTTGGAGATCCATGCAGTCGGCTCAGTAACGTTTTTCAGGATACCCTGTTTTTCAAGGTCACGTATTGCGTCAGATGCTTTTGCTTCCTTTGCTACAGGGCACCGATGTGGATGAGCTTGGATTGGAGTCACATTAGGGTTCATGCTGATGTGCAGGGGCGGCCCCAAATTTCCTAACCCTGTGTGGACATCCTTAAAGGCATCCATGACAATGGCTTTAGTCAGTTTTCCCCAGGGGACAGGCACATGGGACACACCCACCTCACTAGCCATGCTCCTCTTTGGACGAACGTTTTCTTCTCTGATGACAGCACGATGAACTACACTAATATCCTCACACGTACCATGTGCTGGAGAGGTGCTGGTGGTTTCCTCAGTCACATTAATCTCTTCTGTTGCACTACCATTCAGTGAGGCGGGCCTGACTTCCTGATCAGGAGTTCCACTTTCCTCCACTCTTCCTCGCAGAGGTCCCGAGTTAAGCTGGCACACTTCTGAGGCACCCCCTTTTTGGTTGTTACGATCCCAGGAGCAGGTGTTTCCTCTTATCTCAACCAGGCCTAATCTAACACAATCAGATCCACTTAGAAGAGGTGGCTGTGATCCCATGACGTCCTTATTTAACAGCTGAAACTGAAGAGTGTGAAACTTTCCTTGAGTTTCACAGACCAAGTCTATTTGCCCCACTGGCTTTATTACACCTCCTCCATAG